AAGCCCCATAATTGTAAAATGGGTGAAAAGCAAGGATCTACAGACAATTTGTCTGGGGGGGAAAGACAGGTTAGGATTGGGGTTTGGAATGGAAGTTGGAGTACATTAACTATTCTTTCCTATTAGCCTAAATCAGGGGTCAGCAAACTTTTGAGATGGAAGAGCCGCCAGGGGTCAGCAAACCGTGGCTTGTGAACTGTGGCTCTGAAATTGAAAATAAAACTAAAACTATCACAGATTCATTTTATGAAATCTTTACAGGATATTATTCACATAATGGTGATTATGTAAAAATATATCCATGGCTCTTGAATAATTTTTAAATTGTGAGGAACAGGATTGGCTCTTCCAGGGGTCGGCAAACTTTTGAGACAGAACGTACCCAAAGAGCTGTATGTGGCTCGCGAGCCGCAGTTTGCCGACCCCTGGCCTAAACCTATTAGGTACCTCTCCTCTAGTCTAAATTATTCAAAGGTTTACTCTAATCCTCATAAGACATATATCATATTATTATATTCTCATAAAATCCCTACGTCAAAGTTCATCAGGCAGATGTGAAAAGTTGACATAAGAGGCGCCATTTTAAAATAGAGTCAGGGTAGTCATTCCAGAGGAACTGCCTTCCGCATCTTGTCCCTGGATTGTTTGAAATGTTTGGACTGGCAAAAATTACCTCTGGACTGGGCCATAGCAACACTGCTTTACAAACAACTGCTTGTAAGCTAACAGAAAAGCAGACATCCTGACCACAAGGACTGGTTATTATGAATGTTCTTTAGAATTAGTAACCAGCCATATATGGCTAAAAAAGTAACTAAGGTGTTAACACCAACAGAAATTCCATTTCTCTAGTTATGTAATGATTTCCCTTTCTTTTCCCATAAAAGTCTCTTGCCTGAACCTGGGTTCCCAGATTGCACTCCTGTGATCTCAAATAAATCCTCGTTGCTTCTCACTTCGGCTTTTTTTTTTTTGTTTTTTTTTTTGTTTGTTTTTTTAGCTGAGCCATCCTGCTACCTGTTGGCAGCTCAGCGGCTGCTCAGCTCGGGCTGGACTCGAACTGCTGTTGCTCAGAGCTCAAACTCTTGAGCGAGCTCTTAACCAACTGAGCCACTCGGCCGGCCCCTCTCACTTCGGCTTTTATTTTTAGGGTAACATAAACATCATGATTCCCTTTCATAAATCAATGCTAAGAAATTTTGTTTAACCACCCTTAGTGGTGCAATTAAGGCAAAAACTGAGAGGCCCCCCTTCTTAAACTAGTACTTGAGGACCCTGTCCACAACGTCTCCTAGACTGCAGAGCTTAAAGATCCATATGCTCACAATGCCTAATTTAGATTCTTATATGTAAGGGACCATGTCTCACAACCATAGCACACACATTGTTCATCCATTAGCCTCCCTCTCCAAGTGTTGTTTCTCTCCACGGGAGACTTCGTTTTCCAGCCTCTACCAATCAGAAGCAAGCACCTCTTCCACTGTTCTTTAACCCTTGTGGGGGAGTGAGTTCAGCACCTGAGGCTCAGGAAGTTCAGGACACTCTGGGGACAATCCCAGACATTTTCCTGCCATAGAAATTATCGTCATCCAGGCAGGAGGCAGGAGTGGGGATTTCTGCAGAAACTCTTCCCTACTCAGAAACCCTCCTTGCCCAAAGCCACTTTTCTGCCTCAAACAAAATTTTAGGATTAAAATCCAGGTTATTATTAGAAACCTTAATAATTGTTTAGCCATTTCCTTCTCTGCCCGAAAAGATGCATTCGCCTTTCTCCCAATCCATGCCACTCTCAGGACCCCATCTGGTTATTCATTCCTTGGTGTCTCCCAGAGAGAGAGGGACATCACACATTAGACCCTTCCCATCTGTCACACACACACACACACACCCTTCTCCTGTCCTCTCCAGTCAGCCTGTGATTCCACGCACTATCTCATCCCCGCTCCTCATAGTCTATGTAAAGAAAAGGTCGACAAGAAAAGCATGGGTTGTGCAGGTCACTTGGCAGAGAAGGAGACAGGGACATTTACAAGAAGAAAGGGACACTATCTGTTCAAAGTGCCACCTGCATGGGGACAAGTACTCACCTCATAGCCGAATCTTCTCACTTGCTGTGTCTATCCCTCAGTAGTTCCGAGGGAGCACTGAGCAAAGGTGACTGCGCTGTTGTAACCAGCTTCTGCCAGGATTGATTTATTGACGTGTAGAGCGGATGGCCATTGGACAAGAGGAGTGCATTTTCCAAGAGACCATAAAAGGGCCCTGTGACATGGAGGAAGCTTCATTTGTTAATAAAAGGGGAAGGTGGAGCTTTATTCTAAGAGTTCTGCCTCCTCGGCACGCCTGTTCATATCCTTACTCTGTTGCATTATATGATACTTGCTTGTCTGCGCATGTAACCTAAAGAGTTCAAGGTCTTACCCACCTTCCTCATTGTTGTATCTCCTGTACTTAGCACTCTGCCCAACATCCATGGATGCTTTTCAACATATAGCTAGTTGTTGAATAAGTGAGTGAAAGGATGAACGGCCCTTGGCTCATCACATTATTCCTTTTCCCATTTTTGTCTCTCCAAATTCTCTTGGTATAACTCAGCTCTTCATTAATACAAATGTCTCCCCGCCAATTATTCTAAGTAAGAGACGCACCATTAAAATAGGAATTCTATAATCTTAAAGTGGGAAGACACCTCTACTGGAAATTTGTCATGCTCTTTGGCTGATTAGCACCTTTACAAAAGCCTTCTAATCCTGAAGGAACTTCCCACCTTGAGACTTCTGCCTCCTCAAGGAAGAGGCTAGAAATTCTCTTTCACAGTCCCCTTTCTCCCCTATCCCAAAGCTGAGGCAAGTGACCGGGGCTCAGCTGATGATGAGCCTATGACCCAGAAGAAAGTGGAGAAAAGAAGGAGGGGTCACGTGGGACCTTGGATGGTGAAGAGACATCATTTCAGAGGCAGCAGGAACAGGGGACCTAGGGCACCCTATGCTCAGAATTGGGGGTGCAAGTTGCCAGACGTGTGCTAAGGGCAGTGACAATGGAACCTGCTACAGGGTAATGGAGCTGTTGTCCCCAGTCCCTACTACAGAACTGACACACTAGCTAAGAAAAAAAAAAGTGGGTTTCTAAAAACTGAAATATAATTTACATACCATGACATTCACCCTTTTAAAGTGTACAATTCAGTGGTTTTTAGTATATTCACAAAGTTGTAAAACCATCATCACTAATTCCAGAACATTTTTACCATCCCCAAAAGAAGATATATTCATTAGTGGTCATTTCCCATTGCATCTCCCCTATCTCTGAAATCACTAATCTACTTTCTGTCTTAATAGATTTGCCTATTCTCAACATTTCACATAAGTGGAATCATGATATGTGTCCATTTGTGTCTGGCTTCTTTCACTCGGCAGAATATGTAAAAGCTCATCCATGTTGTTGCAGGTATCGGGCACCTACAAATATCAGTGCTTTATTCCTTTCTATGGCTGGATGACATTCATTATATTTATATATCACATTTGTTTATCCCTTCATCAGTTGATGTACATTTGGGTGGTTTCTACTTTGGGGCTGTTATACACAGTGAGGCTGTGAACAGCATGCACAGGTTTTTGCGAAGGCATGTATTTTCAATTCTGTATACCTGGGAGTGGAATTTCTGGGTCATATGTAACTCTTCATTCACTTTTTGAATAACTGGAGAACTGTTTTCCAATGGCAGCAACGGTTTACATTCCTACCAACAATATATGAGGGTAATGTGGGATATTGCATATTCTCCACATAGTTTAGCAACATATACAGCAGGTCATCTTTTTTTTCTTTTTAAAGATTTTATTGGGGAATCGGGGAAAGGGAACAGACAGGTAGACAAGTTGCTGTTTTTGTTCTTCAGTCTAGTTGTGGAGGACGTTGCTTCACTGGCCCAAGTTGGCACCATCATTGCGCTCTTCCTGGGTGAGGCAGATCAGTCGCTGGCTTCCGGACGGCTGCTCATGGCGGCTTGAGGGCCGCTCACACTGGCTGCTGGCTACACACGGTAGTCCATGGCAACCCACTGCAGCAGGGGCTGCAGCCTACGCCGGCGCCGGCAACTCACGGCAGCCCAGCTCCAGGTTGACCCGTTGTTCAGCATCTTAGCTGTGGAGGGCAGTGTCACTGGCCCTCATATGTGGGATCCGAACCAGGGCCCTCCAGCATCCCAAGCCAGTTCTTAACCACTGTGCCACTCGGCCGGCCCGCAGGCCATCTTTTGATGGCACTTAAGATCCATAAGTAATATAGTACCCATCGTGCTCCAAGTTTGCTTCAAATGGTCAGTGTGTGGAGAGACAGGGAGAGAGAGAGAGAGAGAGGAAAGGGAAGGAAAAGGAAGGCAAAGGGAGGGGAGGGGAGGGAAGAGGAGAGATTGAGGTCTGCCTTTTTGAACTCCTGGAATGACATATCCACCTTATCATGGCTCTAGTACAAGGCATCCTTTGTTAGGGGAAAAATGTACCTGGATCTCATTTCAAATTGGGACAATGTCTTGGCAAAAGATCAGGAAAGGAGATTTATTGTTACACAAGATCTTTCTAGTCTTTGTGTGATACTTTACTCTTAACTCCCCAAGTCCTGTGCTCATTTTTGACATTATAATGCTAACCGACCATCCCAGCTGTAACCCGATTCTTAAAGTATGGAGAGTGTAGAATTTTGCCATCCCTTCTTGCTAGACAACTGGAAGATATTGGGTTCCGTGCTTGTGTTGATCCATAAAAAAAGTAACAGAGATATAAAGTACGGGACCCAGTACTTTCTAGTTTATTTGTAAGAAGGTGTGGTTAAGTTAGCTCTTGGCAGAACTCATAATGTGATCAAAGCAAGCAGATGGTGGACATCATCAAGTCGGAAACCAACAATACGTATGATACTTCAATTTCAGAGCACCATCCTCCAAGGCAACGCACCCTAACATACTCATTTCCAAGTAATACTAAAAGTAAAAATCCCTGTTGAACATTAATATAGAATTTATTTATCACACATTTTAACCATCTAGTGTTTTATCCAACAGTGTTACAAATGTTATTTTTCCAGAGTTGATATTTTACCCGATATAGTAACTGCTATGATGATTAAAACCACAACAATCCAAGCACGCTCTTCCACAAACCCGGATCTTCTAAAGACCCACGTCAAAGGTGTAAGGAAAAGAGTGTGTGATCATAACGCCGATCATTCCATTGGTGGATCCGACTGCAGGAACTCTGATGCCAAAGAGAACAAGGCTAATGTACAAGGGTTTCCTGAACAAAAAGAAGCCTTAATCTGAAGTGAGATTACCCATGGTCAAAATATCACAAAATTCACAATGTCTTGTAAATCTGCTTGTTTTATTTTGCTCTGGCATAGAAGTTGCATGCATGAGTGTGAACTGTAGTGATGTGTGTTAGCCATAGGGTAGAGCAATACGATTTGTACACTTCAAAGCACACAGCTGCAAAAATAAGTTATTTTTTACATTCAGCTTTGCCTGCTTAAATCTCATCCTCACCCCTACTCCCCCATGCTAAGAATTTCCTCAACCCCATTTCTTGCTCTCAAGTGACTGGGCTTTTCCTTTCTCCTCCCCAGGAGGCTAATCTTCCTAATATTTTTACATAATCTTCTTCTTTGTCATGATCACTTTTATCATCATCTTCTGTTTCCTCTCATCTTGCCTGCTTACCTTTCTGTGTGTTTGCTATTTCTTCCCCTCATATCATGATCTCAGCATACTGCTCTTCTCTTCCTATACCCAATTAGCAGATGTTCTTCCTGGATACTGTCTTGGCGTGTTAGCTCCAGGACCTGGAAGTGTCCTGGCAAGCTTTTCCTTGTGTATTTCACAGGACAGCGGGGCCTATTCCCTGATTACACACACACACACACACACACTCCACCATGGACCCAGTTCATCTTCAGTAAATGTTGTATGATAAACAACTGATACCATATTAATCACACAGAGACATTAAGGTAACCCGTAGATTTTCCACTAACTCCCTATTGACTAGCCCACAGAGCTAAGACACAGACAAAAACATATAACAAAGCTGAGAAAATATTTTACCCATACTGGCCATGAAAACCAATTAGCAATACATAAAAATTTGATAAGCATGAAGTAGTTTCAAAGTCATTCATAGGCTCTTGCTCTTAATTTTCACTGAGTGTTTGTCCATGTCAAGGAAATGAAATTATGGAGGCTGATGTTTCTGTTGGTCATCTCAATACTTAACACCTGTGGGGAACCAAAGGAAAAGTGTTGGACATCTGGTGATTGAAGTTTCCTGCACTCAGATAAATCAGATACAAGCCAATGGTCTACACAGAACTCATACTTCCACAATTCACTGCCTCGCTTCCAGGCTGCTCTCAAATTTTCAGGTGAGTGTTTCTTAATTCCTTAGAGTACAAAGATCATTCAGTGATAAGGAAAAGACAACAAGCCCTGAAATAATGCAATTATGCAACCACTGCAGAGACACAACGCCACAGACAAACTAGAGAAAATATCTCCTTTGCCCTCATTTGAGGTGTTGATTTCCCTCAGAGCTAACCCTTGTATTTCCTCCTTCTGCTAGTCCCTAACAGGGCCCTGATGATGGCCAGTAAGAGTCCAATATGCTAACTTTTTTTTCTAGGCAAATACTTTCCATAAAAGTTCACTGCATGTGCAGTCCATGAGCTGGTCGGCAACAAAATTGGGTAAAGTCCTTTATGAGCTCTTGGTAAAGTTGGAGAAGTTGGTTGACAAGGAAACCACAAATATGAGGAAACAAATAAAAAAATAGGAAAACTTTTTGTTTCAGTCTTTGTTGTAATCAGGAAGGATTATGAAAGAAAAATAGCTCAGGAAAAAGCAAGAAGCAAGCATACAAGAAAAGATCCCATTTACTATGAAGAGAGACGTTGGAACCATTGCATGTTAATCCCACGGTGCAGGGTTTTCACATACTTAACATGCACGAAATCAGAATATGTCTTGCAAGCAACAGCCTTAGAATTACCGCGAGCCAAGCAGCCTCATGACAATTATGATCTGTGCCAACATGAACTTCGTTGCTGTTGCTGCTATTAAGAATGGATAAACTTAAGGGTTATTTTATGAAGGACTATGAATCCTTGGCTGACAGTAAGATCAGGAAAAGTGCTATGATGAAAATTTATATAAACATTTAAATGGCTTGGGAGAAAAACCTCACAGACAATAGTAGAAGAATCTTATGAAATTCTGTATCCCTAACACCTTGGGTAGTACATAGGAAATACCTTAACCCATTAGCATCATGCAGTTTCCTTTTAAATAATAACAAATAAAACCATAAAAGATTTAAATAGTAAAATAATTAAACTATTTAAATAATAAAAGAAAACTATGTGAGACAAATTGGTTAAGGTATTGCTAATATTTCTTCACATTCAGGGTTGACCTCTTTTAAATTCCTTTTTTAAAAAGGTTTTTATTAAAATATAGCTAACATATAACATTATATTAGTTTTAGGTATACACAATAGTTATTCAACATTTCTATACCTAAAGAAATGATTGCTATCACTTTGTGAGGGGTGTAAATGTCTATTATGTTGCCTTGTATACCTGAAACTAATTAAAAAAAAAGTGATCACCATGATAAGTCCAGCAACGATACCACACCACGCTATCACAATATTATTGACGATATTCCTTAGGTTGTACAACCTCTTCTAAATTACTTTGATGCAGAATCATCAATGCCCATGTATCTTTTCCCCTGTATTGTCACTTAATATAGGTATACTAAAATGATAAAAATCTATGTCTAAAGCAGTTTTACAAAACTTTCTATAAGTTCAAAATAAAATTTTCCGTGATAGGAAAGCACTGTATCATCCTTTTTTCATCCTTTTTTCTTTCTTTGTGGCGCATGAAATAATGGAGCAACTTTTAACTGATGGCGTCTTACAGTGGATGAAATATGGTAGCTCAAGCAATCTGGGAAGCAGAGTTCTGAGTCACAGGTGAGGGAGTAAAGGCAAGGTTTTCAGAAGTCTGCAGATGAGAATGCATGCATGGAAAGCAAGGATCCAGACCCTCAACCCCAAATGACGATAAAGCCCGAATTGTCCCTTCATCACCATGCTGTCCATTGCTGACACACTGAAAATGGATTCGTGTGAAGGGCTTTGCAGGAGAGGGAAGGGAAGCATTTGAAAGGGAAGCAGGCAGGCATTGTGCAATGCATCTCAGAGGTTGGGAACTATCAGCCAGACTTTTCCGGGGTCACAAACCTGGATTGTAGCGATGTAGTTGAAGCTGGGTGTTATAACCGTGTCCTTCACAGAGACACTGACATTGGAAACGGAGAGACTGTTCAGTCCCCAGATCTCAATGTAGCCGAGTCTCAAAGGGTTTGTATCGGTGATGTAGTTGTTGAAAGTTATGTGACTCTCTATCGTATTCTGTCAAATTGGAGATAAAAGAAACCCGAGGGAAAACCAGTGTGAAATGTGTTGGAATGTCCCCCCACTTCTTTTAGGCACAATTATAGACCGATCATGAAGTAAGACAACTTCAGAGTCGCCATCTTGTGTCGTCGAAGAGTGGAGACCATGATTTCAGCAGTCTACCTCCTATTGCCAACTGTGCATTGGCTAAATAAGCACCTGCAAGGTCTCTAGAATTGCTGTGAATTCTCTGGAGACAAAGAGTCTCAGGTCCCAGGAACTTTACATCCGACCTGCGGAGAAGTCACAAAATGTGCAGACCATTCCTAGGCAACTTAGGAACAAGAGCGACATACTGTTGAAAAGGTCTTTCCACCTCTGCTTTGGTCAATTGGAATACGTTACTGATGAAACCAGAGTGTGTTTAACCATAGGAAACGTCCTGGGGGCACGCTACATCTCTATGTGAGATCTAGAGGAAGGGCAGGATGCACATTAGCAAGGTGAGCAGTGAAGGGATTCTGGGTGGTACTTGATGCTCTTACAGTATCCAGCATCCTACTAAGCCACAGTATCAGTCACACTCACCTGGCTGGCGGAAAAGTGGGCCAGGTAATAGAGTCCTTTCTCATAGGTATCTGCAAACAAACAACAAGGTAAATGTGACCAGGAGTTAGGTGCTAGAATTCTAACTGCCACCTTGTCTTCGTTGAAAAAATAGGGATTGTTTTTGGTTTTTAATTTTTTCTTTAAGATCTCCATTTTTGTGACATAAGCCCTCTTTATGGAGATCAGCCAGACTCTGCCCCAATCTCAGTTTACATGAGACGTTTGAGATGATTGTGTTTAGACACATCTGTCTGACGAGTCACCTCACGTGATGCTTCCTAATACCACCCTCAGCCACTTCTCCTCCTCACCGTCTATCTATCACTCCCCACATCTTCCTGGTCACCTCAGAAGTTCCTGATTCCTCCCGCTGGAGGCACACATATGTGCCCATACATGCATGTGGGCACACATTACAAACCCCAAGGCTGGTGAGATATGAGGCAGTTTGTTCATTGCAATCTCTAGAGATCAAAGATGACCAATGAAAGCCTTCTTTGTCCTTTTATCCTCAATTTGAGCCAAAGGTCCAGGGAGAATACGAAGCTCAGCATGTCCAGGAAAGGTGGGCTTACCAGAGCCCTGTCACAAGTATTCCCACCCTACACCCTACGCCTGTGGCTTTCTCACGCTTCCCCATGTGCTCACCTCTTTCCAATTTGCCTATTACTCACTCGATCAGAGGGCATTGGCTATCCCTCAGAACTGTGCTAAGATAGTAGCCACTGGCAAAATCTAGCTATTTAAATCACGATTAATTAAAATGAAATAAAATTAAAAATTCAGTTCCTCAGAACACATTTGTCACATTCCAAGTGCTCAATAGCCACAGATGTCTAATGACTACCATATTGGACAGCAGAGATATAGGACATTTCCATAATTGCAGGTAGTTCTATTGGACAGCACTGGCCTAGAAATAGCTAACAATACTTGAGCCATCCTCCCGAGAGTTCACCAATTCCTGTAAACTCCTAATGGAAAATTCCCCCAAATAAATAGCACAGCTGATACAGGCGTTACCTCTCTTAATGGGGCAATTAACCATGAAATTAGGGAATGTGCCCTTGAACATAAACCAATGCAGAAGGACATTTCAGTTGGTTACAAAGAAACTTTCCCTATGGCTAACAGTGGATTAGAACAGTGGATAATGGTGAGAGGCCCAGAGCTAAGCTTCATTTATATTAGGTCTATGTTTTATTCACTTCAAAGTAACAAATGACTATATTTTAAAAATGCGAAATTGCTTTTAACATGGAACAGGAAAGAGCATTCCTAAACGCTATGCAGAAACCTAGTCAATGGTATTGACACGGATCGGAGGCAACCTGTACTCACCGATGCTTTGCCCATCATCCCAGAAGAGCCAACCTTCAGCAGCCCCTTTATCATCCAAGGCAACCTTCAAGCCTATGAATTTCTGGCGGCTGCAGGCAGGAGGGAGAGAGGCATCAGCTTAAAACCAAGCCACAGCCACAAACCAAGGGTTCTCATAAAAACTTGAAGTCTTTCATGCTAGAAAGACCGAATACCAGAATTCAAGAGATTTGTGATCTAGTTCTGTCTCCACTGGCTATATCACCTCACATCAGAAATGAATGAATGAATGAATGAATTTCCTTTAAGGTTCTAGAAGCTCCACCAAAAACTACAGGCCAACTCAGTGGGTTCCTTCCTTTCCTCATTGTGAGGAAAAGTCCTGATGTTGTGATATTTCTTCTTCCATGACCTAACTTCCTAAACACGCGTACAGTGAGTTCTGTTCACAAATGTCCTACGTGCTTCAGTTTTTAACTGAACTTTTGGACTCAAATGAGTAGGGCTCTAAGAATCTTAGTTTGACATCAGACACACATGGATCTCAGTCCCTGCTCAGCTATTTACTAACTGTGTGACTCTGAGGTAATCGCTTCGCCTCTTGAGGCCTCTCTGTGCTCATCTGTAAAGTGGGGATAATAACAGTACTTACACCATAGGGTTTATTTTTTTCTTTTTCTTAAGAAAAAATAGATAATCTCTATATTATTTCAGTGTTAGGCACAGAGCAACCATTCATTTGGTGTTAGTTGTTATTAATTATTATATAGACGTAGGTCTAGAATTTTAAAGTCTGCATATGAGGAATCTTAGCCTCAGGTATCAGTCACATTATGTCTAACACAAGTTTTCAGCAATAATTTTCTTAGCAAAGGCTCAGCTGAGATCCAGTCTTCTAAAACTACCATGAATCATGGTTGCTCCTGTTGGACTTCCATTTCAAATAAAATTAGACCTAACATCTCACCCACTTGATCTAAAAGAGTTATAATAATTGTTGAAAGAGTGTAGAGTCTGAAAAAGGTGAAACACAAACAAGCAAACAAACCAACAAAAAAGTTGTGTAAAATTGCTTTGGGGCCCGAGAGTGCTGTGTACAGACTGGTGGGCTCCACCAGGCTCTGAGCTAACTGGCTTGCAAAGGAGGAATGTGGTGCCCTCATTCACCTGAAGTGGGTGTTCTGTGCAGGTTCTTGCCAGGGCAGGATGGAGCCTCCGCGGACATGGAGGTTAATGTGGTCAAGAGGGGCTGGCAAGGTCTTCCACTCTCCCCTGGCTTGGATGTCCACACCCTGTGGGCCGGAAGAAAAGCGAGCTGGTGAGGGAGAGAGCACGCCTCCGAACAATGCGTTTAGCAGGCATCTTGTCCACTCTTCCCACCTTGCTGCCTGTTCATGGCCCCTCCGCACGCACCTGTCACTCCACTCTTCCGCATTCACCCAGCGTGCGTGTAGAATCTTGCATTGCTGCTACAATGTCTTATCGGGGTCCCTTGCCTTCTGGGGTCTCCACAGTACATACTACATGAGATCCTGGCATGGACCTCGCCCCAGCCTCCCTCCGCGTCTAATTTCGGTGTCACAGAGCCCTGTCCTGCTAGAGGACGTTGAACAATCCTTCATTCATTTCTTGTTGGCTCCTAATACTCTCCCCACAGTGGCGTTTCTGGACCTCCTCTTTCGCTTTGTCTCCACTTTGTCTTCATCTCCCCTCAATACTCCCATCCCCACCAATTTAACTAACACCTTTGACACTTCACAGAACAGATTAAAGTGAGCTGACTTAGTTACAAATTCTTAGCTTAAACTCACTATATTTTCCTTGATGTTTAACATCTTTATCTCGCCTCACGTGTGACGGGGAGACGTGTTCTCTCATCCTGAGCCATAAACCTCAGTTCCTAAGAAACCATCCTTACACATATTCTCCAGCCAGAAGAGTGGGCTTCTCAGCTTCAGCAGTATGGATGTTTAGGGCCAGATCATTCTTTCTTGTGAGGGCTGTCCGGGTTTTTTTTGGATGTTTACCAGAGTCTGTCCACTAGATGGCCAGTAGTATCTCCCCACCCCCAACACATTGTAACAATAAAAAATGTCTCTGGACATAGTCAAATGTCCCCTGATAGGCAAAATCTCCCCATTTGAGAACCGCTATCTCAGAGGTAAGGAGCAAAGCTACTGTAACACTGCTACACGTTGGGTCCCTGATGCTCATTTTATACAGATTCGACCTGTATAAAACTGTTGGGGCAGGTGGTAGAAGAAAGAACAGTGGTCAGTACCACATCCCTGGGGCAGGCTCTGCTTCACTGGCCTCGCCCAGGGCTCCAAAGCCTACAGGACTGAATAAAAATTCCAGCCCCGCGTCACCCGGCTTCTTCAGTTTACTCACTGACACCATGGGAAATTTGAATTACATGAGCTCCACAGGCATTTCATGCCAATATCTTATGAATACTGGACATTTTCCTCCATTCATTGTCCTACCTTCAAGTGAAACTCAATACATAGAAAACCGTCAACGTCATCTTATTACCAAACTCTTTTCTCCAATGGTATTTCCATTCTACTACACATTATGGCTAAATATGATTTTGATCTTTTCCCAATTTCATTTCCAATACCTAATGAGTCACAAGCTTACTTCCCTTTAGTTTCTAACGAGGCTAGCCTAACAAATTCCCAATAAAATATCCATAAAAATATTCCTATAAGATAAAAATCCTAAAGCAGCACTATTAAAATAAAATTTAAAAAAAGACAACCTAACATGTCTTTGTTCAGGGCAGTTTTCATCAACTGCATTCTCATTGATTATGATTGAGAAGGACTGTTTTAGAAAACCTAACACATGTTCTACATTGTAAAAAAAAAAAAACGAACTAAAAATGGCCACAAGTAAAGAAGGTAAAAATTTTGATTCCTACACATTGTCAGCTCTTCATCTTCATCAGAACAGGCAATCCATAAGACAAGTCAGAATAGCTCCATGCCTCCCCATTCGCAAATAAAGACAGACACAAGGAGGGAGTGGATAGAAAAACACCTCAGAGTGTGCTCAGTCACATAGGCATGACTGAGAAAGTCACAGAACTCTACAAAGAGCTATAAGAAGCTCCTGATTTTGCAGCTTGTTTAGAGAACCTGGGAGTCAGAGTCGATGGAGATCCAGCCTTAGTCCAGACCCAGAGGACTCACTCTAGTTAAATGAAGCACTTCAACCTGTTCTGCATCAAGGCACCTGCCACTTCATAAAACAAGTGGGTCTATAGGCCAAGCAGTACAGGATGACTTGTTGCTTCTGGTAGTCAGATGAGCACAGGGAGGGTAGTGCGGGGTATGGGAGGTCTCAGCTACCAAGGCAGCTATGACGTGAGGAGTCAAGATGCCCAAGAAATGGGAACCACTGAGACAGGAGTCATACATTCTTCCCCATCCTTCACTCAAGCGATGGGCTAGTTCACAAGTTCTATGGACAAGCAGCAAAGGCATTGTGCAAAAGTGGGGGCTAGGAAGCTGAGCAGGGCTTTCTGATTTTTTTCTGTCCTGCTTTCCATCTATGTCTTTCTGTTCTACTTCCTGGGTAATTTCCTGGTTGTTGTTTTTTTTATGATTTCTTTTTAAACAAAATTTTAAATATCTGCATCATGCCTTTATTTTCCAAGGACTGTTTTGTGAGTATGCCTGTTTTTAGCACGCTTTTTGATTTTAAGTATATCTTATCTCTCTGAGGATATGAATTTTCTAGTTTTTCAATTACATATGTACAGAAAAGTAAGTAACTAATAAGCATACAGCTCAATAAAGTTTTACCAAGTGAACACACCCACAGAACCACCACCAAGTTCAAGAAATAAGTATAACCAGCATTCCAGAAGGTTCCCTTATTCCCTCTTATAATAATCGGCTCACCAAAGGAAGCTACTCTTCTGATTTCTATCACTTTTGTCTGTTTTTGAATTTATATTTAATAAGTAGAATCATACATTCTTTGTTCTCTTATATATGGCTATTTGTGCTCAATATTGTATGTGATACCCACCATTTTTGTTTTTATTTTAAATCGCTCACTATTTTCATTGCCCTATAGCATTCAGTTTTAAAAACAGAACATAATTTATCCATTTTACTGTTGGTGGACACTGTGTATATTTCCAGTATTTTTTGCTATTTTACAAATAGTGCTGCTATGAAACATTCTCAGACATATCTTTTGGTGAAAATATATACACCCTAGGAACAAATATATAACATTTATAATTTCTTCCCAGATGTATATATTAATATGTAATATAATATGTAATGATATATGACCTATTATATATATTAAACACAATTAATAAAAATTTGAGTGCAAGTTTGTTTTATATTTTGGATTGACAAAATTGATTTAATGTCATCTGGGAGACTACATAAAAATAACAATCAAAAATATTTCTGAAAAGGATGAGGGCACTGGTCTATCGCATATTAAATTGTACTAAAAATATACAATCATTAAAAATGTTCAATACTGACAGAATAAACAATAAATTAATAAATCAAAAATATAAATGAAGAGAGAATTCTTTCAGACAAATTCTAGGATATATAAGAACAACACCTGATAATGGAAGTTAAGCAAAGCAAAACTATTGTGAAATTTGACAATTTGGAAGAAAAAAAATTATATCCTGACCTTTATTCACGAAAATGAATTCCAGTGACTTAAAACATTAATTTGACTATATAAAAGTTAAGATCTCTATCAAAAACATAAACAATTGAAATGCAAATGTCAAAGTAAAAAAATATTTTCAAGAAACATGGCAAAATGCTATGAACTTAAATATGCAAATTCTTTAAAAATCAGTAGGAACCATTTAAATATCGTAATAAGAAAATAGCAAAAGAATAAAAAGGTCACAGAAGAATAACAGCCTGTCAAAGAAAATCACAAATCAAATCAATGATGAGCATTAGGGATTACACTGCCTTTAAGAATCATAGAAAGATGAACATAAAAATTATAACAAAAACTACTAGTCAAAACAGATTTACAGAGAAGAACACTCTCATTAAGTGCTGATGGAAATGTAAACTGTTTCTGAAATTTTGCAAACTTATATTAAGGATTCTTGTATTAAGCATCTTCTTTGGCTAGAAATTCAGGTAACTACAGGGTGACGGGCGGGGGTAGAACATGTTAGGGCATGATCTCTTGAATAGACTAGATGGAAATTTAGGCTAGCTCCAGAAACAGGAATTATACGAATTATATATAAACCTCCTGCCTCCCTTAAGCAGATGGTAACCTGTGTGACAACAAAGAAACCCAGTTCAAAAACTGGATCCTTTGCTCCAGTGGGAGAGCCTAAGTCTCCACTTTATTTCCCAAGTCCAAGCATTTCCCATGCTTTTGCTAATGCCGTAGAGCATCCCTCCTCTTCATCTTTTAAAATACGAAATAAGATACAGTATCTTCTACTGGTACCTGTATAAACTGTCAGCGGGATTGGGTACAAAACATTAAGTAGTATTAATATGTTCAGCCAATCCACCGCAAATCCCGTGGCTGAAAGGGGCCAGAGCGTGCTCTGCCTCTTGTCTCCCTGCTGCCATCTTTTTTGCTCTATTCCAGTCCTCTGCTTTTTTCTCCTCAGGGGAGTCAGGAGGAGGCCTGGTTAGAGGGAGAGGAAGCCCTTTGGTTCTTGCTCAAGAATACTGCCCAGAAGCTGCTTTGGAAGACCCTGTTTTCCCAGATGAGTCTCTGGGGCTCAGACTAGCCCAGGAATGTCTATGACAGAGAAGAATGTGTCCAGCCTGCATTTGTAAATGTACTTGCATTGCTCTGCGCCACAAGGGTTGGACCCCATACCTCTGTGTGCATTTTACACACTGACTAAGACTTTGTTTGCCCTAAGAAATCCCGTTTAATAGCTCCTCTTTGATCATCTATGCTACAGAAGGAGATATGGAATAAAAAGAGAGAGAGGAAAAGTCCCCCTTCACTTACAATCTTACAGTCCAGCAGGGGAGAATTCAACGAAAGCTACAGTTTATAGCACAACTTCAAGTGTTCACTAGCGTTGCCATTATCCACCATTGTGAATGGTGGTAAAATAAGGAAAGATGAAAACTAACACATAGAGAACACCCATGAAAGCCAGGCGTTGAGATGCTTTCTGTGTTATTCCACAATTCTGTGGGGGAAATGTCAAATGAAGGTGACCAAACTAAAAGCGACTTGTGTGCGATCACACGTGAAGTAGGGTACAGAATCCGAAAGCGGCCAGAGGTCTGTCAGACACTGCAGCCCGTGCATGCTACCATTTTCCCGGGTTGTATAAACAATCAGAGAAACTCACCGTGTAGTAGTCATACCAGCGGGCTCCAGGGAAATACGCGGTGACATTTCTGGCATTCTAAAATTAAACGCAAACGAGTCATGGGCCGTGGGCTCCATTATCAAAGGCAGAGAAACCAATGTGGCCAAAACACTCGTGGTGGCCTTTGACCCACATGCTTCATCTCTCTCGAGGCCAGCGCCACTGGGAAAGGCTTCCGTCTCCCCACTCCTATAAAGCCCTCTGGGGTCCAGAAATTTTTTTTGGTGGGGAGCGCGGGGGGAGAATCATCATTTGCTTATAGGCTTATCCCCATACCCTCTTGAAAGAGACAAACTGAGGTTAGGTCTGGGTCAGAGAAAAATTTTGTAGGTTTTATGGTTCCACTACTTCAGAGATTATGATTAGCGCAGTAAGTTTTAGGGAGGATGCAATGAACTGGTGTTATAACCGCACTGTATTTCTGAAGCTGATGTTGAATAATAATGTATGCCAACTATAATTATATATACATATAGTCACGTGGAATAGAGTGTGGGAATGGAGTCAATGGAATTGTAATAGACAAGCATGATATCGGGGGTGGGAGGGCAGTAGATGGGGGAGGGGGGTTGTTACCTGGTGAGGGTGAAAAGGGTAACTATTGTATTGTTCTGTACACCTGAAACTAACAATAAAAAAAAAAAGAGCCTTATTAACAAACGGAAAAACCAAAAAAAAAAGGCTTTTGCTGCCTAAGGACCTCTTACAGGAGGAAAGGAAGGACTGGCCATCAACAATAAGATTCAACGCATTGTTACAAACAATCCTGAAAAGTTTTGTTTTAATGGTGACAGGACTGTAATGAATTCTTCACAGCACTACCCCCACCTGACCCATACTCCTTATTTCAGGTAGTGAAGAAATGATTATATCTTAAAATATATCATAAGATTTTTTCCTTCTCGATTGTCCTATGAATCGGGACCTGTTATGACGATTTTAAAGGTGATGGAGCTGAGAACCAGAATATCTAAGTGGTGGACTTCAGCTCAGTGGGAGAGAAAGGGACAGGTGTAAAACAAGAAACTGCATCTCGGTACCCGCACCAGATGAAACCTCTTCTCCTCGCCCTGTTCGCCAGGCTTCATAAGTGGCATCATCTACTTATCAGACGCCTTCATACTCACAGGATCCAGGACAGGGCTGACCAGGAAGGCGGGGCCCAGCAGGAACTGACGGTCTATATCCCAGGTCACCCGGTCTGACACAAACCTGAAGAGGCAAACCAAGGTACCACAATCAGGACCCAACAGGGCCCAGGCCAAGGCCTTGAAGAAACTCCTCAAGTTCAGACCCAAGTCAGAAATCCAGCCGCCACGCGCCATCCTTTACTCTTTCCTAGGTCTACCTTAATCGGCTACAGATTCCCTTCCGACATGTCGTGTTCTTCAAACTCCAGACATGATTGGATTTAGACATGTTCTGAACCATGGCACATCCTAAATGCAAGAATGGCCTTCACCCCTCCAATCTCCCCCTGGAATGCCTTCTGACCTGAGCTGCTGTTAAAGATAGGTAGGTCTTCACTTGCCCAAGTTAGAAAGAAATTATTCTGTGCTGTATTGTATCATTTTGAAAAAAAAATTTTATTACATAGCCTCTTATCAAAGACCCAGGGTATCGTCGACACTGTGCTCAAAGGAGTTATAACATACGGTATGTGCCTAGAGCGCTTACGGCAAAAGGTAATCATGTCTTTAATCTGGAAGAACTGTTTCCTTCAATCGACACCATATAGAATAAAATGATCTGTTAGTCCCTGGGGCTCCAGCCAGGCACTCACTCATGGAGAAGAGGCCGCACCACAGTCCTGCCCTCCGTGTAGGCCAAGTGCATCAGGGTGTAGAGATAGGGCAGGAGCGTGTATCTGGTCTTCAGGACGCTTCTGGACATATTCACAAAGGCCTCATCCCAGGACACAGGGTCTTGCCTCTAAAGGAGAAAGAGGCATTTCAGAGCTCACCCCAGGTTATGTTTATTACAAATGTTTATTGCAATGAAATGTTGGTTACAGATGAAAATCACCCATAGCTAACTCAGAGATGATTACAGACGAGACTCCGAGAATATGCTTAAATAGACTGAAAGAGGCCACTGACACTCTCCCAGGATGGCTGACAAAATTTCCCCGTAGGACATTCTTTTGGGGTATATTTGATACAATGCTGCCTGAATGAAAAGAATAATCTAAAGAACACAGAAGAAGATGTAGCGTAAGGGTCCTTTCATATACCTATTGGCCATGTGTATGCCTTCTTTGGAAAAATGTCTCTTCTGTTCCACTGCCCATTTTTTAATTGGAAAGTGAAACGAGTTAGACAGAGAAAGCCAAATGCTGTATGATCACACTTATTTAAAATCAAGGAATCTTAAAAAGTGGAACTCATAAAAAAAGAGAGTAGAATGGTGGCTATCAGGGTCTGGGGGCTGAGGGAAGCAGGCAGATGTCAGTCAAAGGACACAGACTTCCGGTTATAAGATAAATATGCTCTGGGGGATGTAACGTACAGCATGGTGAATACAGTTAACAATACTGTATTGTATATTTGAGAGTTGCTGAGAGAGTAGACATTAAATGTCTTCACCACAAGAAAGAAACCGTAATTCTGTGAGGCGATGGAGGTGTTAGCTAACCCTACTATGGGTGTCATTTTACAATACATAAGTGTATTAAAAAAAAAGAAAGAACTACGAGGGCTTACTGGTTTTAAAGATGTCCCTGGGGAGTATGTACTGCATTAATTCTAGCTCAAAATTAGAGGCTGTGTTTCCAGTGACGCTTTGCTCCTACCCTTGTTCCAATGGTGTTGTGGTTCCTCGAAAAGGGGTAAAAGGCCCCCAGTTGCATCCAGCGAACACACATCTCATATTCAGCATCTTGAAAGAACCCACAAATATCTGCTCCTGTCTGAAACAAGACGGAATAAAAAAAGCCTGTTGATGATTTCTGAAAGCCGTCACCATCGGCTTGGGGGTTAGGAACGATCCAAAGGTCACTTACATAGGATATGCCAAAGATGCTGAACTCCATCATGCCTGCAAGGAGAAGCACAGTCGTGTCAGCCCGGCCACTCGTGACCTGCCTCCTCCCCGCTCCTCAGAGAATCCTGTATCGGGGGTGCCATCGCCCCTCCCCACCGGCAGAGGGCCCCGGAACGAGCCCACACACCAATGATAGACTTCCTCAGCTGGTCCCACGCAGCCGTGTTGTCTCCCAGCCAGTGGCCTCCCCAGCGGCCAGAAGAGGGGAATGTGGAACGGGTGACCACGATCCCTCGCTGCCCCGTCACCTCCTGCACAGCTCTGTTTAGAGGGGCGCAAGGAGGCGATTTGGATTAGAACAGGGGAGGAAAGGCCACCGAGCGTCTCCTCCTGGAACTCCTGATCGTAGGGCATGGTGACAAAATGCCCGATATGGAATATGCAAATCCGAGCTATAATGAGACCCCCCCACTGACTGACCCCAGATAATGGAGAGGAAAAAAAAACCAGTTACACTGTTAGAGTGTTTACAGCATTTTACAAAGAACTTCACGATGCAATGAACTCACTGGGTCACCTAAAAATAATAAGTAATCACTAAATCTTACTATCTATTTACTTGGTACTTAGTTTTATGTATTTGGGGAGGAAGAAGGCGAATTTGTTTCCAAGGCTTTCCTTAGGGTAATTCTTCTTCACTGACTGAGCTCAAAAAAATAGGACAGCACTAATTCAGTAGAACACCATTGGGCTATCCAAGAAAAGTGACCAAAAAAATAATTCATAAATAAATAAATCCCTAAAGAGACGAGTGACTTTAGAAATAAAGGAGGTGCCCAGTCCTCTGCATTCCCTTTGCCTCCTGTAACTCAGGTTGTTGCAGCATCAGCTGCCCTGTGTGACGATGGCCTGTGGCTCCCCATGGGCAGGACCTTGTTTAAGTCTGTCCTCCAAACTGTGAGCACAGGGCCTGGCTCCATGCTTATGAGCGTTTGTTTAATAAGTAAGAATCGCTAGAGGGCCGGCTGAGTGGCTCAGTTGGTTAAGAGCTCGCTCAAGAGTGTGAGCTCTGAGCAGCTGCAGTTCGAGACCTGGCCCGAGCTGAGCTGCCGCTGAGATGCCAACAGGTGGCAGGATGGCTCAGCTAAAAAACAAAAATAAAAGAAAGAAAAAAGTAAGAATCACTCCAGAGTTGTAATTAAAATCTTCTGAACCCGTGGAAGAGGGAAGGAGAGGAAAAGCAGGGTAGCATCATCTGCCACTGGCTGCTTCGCAGGCTGTGTGACTGGGGAGGGGAGATGCTGACTCACTCGTAGGTGGGCCTGGTCTGGGACCACCCGTACAGGCTGTGCACGTCGTAGTGCCGCACCCGGGAGCCATCTGGCAGGATCTGCTCGCTCTCCATGCACAGGGTTTTGCTGCTCAGGCCCCTGTCCCTGGACTCCAGATCTGAGGAGAAAGAGCTAGTGATGTGAAAGCTACTTCTGATGCTATTTGTCCCTGACCTCTCTCCAAGGGCTTGGACTCTGGCTATTAAGACCAACTTGACCCCTGCATGGGTCCCTCTCCTTCGCAGAAGCATGGGAATGTGCTCAGCTCTGGGAGCTGCATGGCGCCCATAGGTGTTTTCAACGTCAAGTCCCCTGAAGCGTTCTCCAGGAGAAAGCCAGGGTCATGGGAAAGAATGCAGAATTGTCAAACACTGTGTGACAGGTTCCAACCGAGGCATTCAACGTATTAATTATTGTGTGTCATTCTGATTGTAATTCTATGAAGAAGATACCATTCTCCTCCTTTTACAGTTTCGAGATTTAGAAACATCAAGTAATCTGTTGAAGGTCACAGAAGGTCTAATTTCTGGAGCCAAGATATGAACACAAGTATAACGCCAAAGTCCATCGACTCCATGATAAGGGACAGCCACCACTTTCCACCCACTGGTGGCACAACAACTTCCTGTGGAGGAATTAACATAAGCTCAAAGAAGTAAGGAATGTAGCTATAGGATCCTTTGGAAAGAAATTTGAGAAATTCAGTGTTTTCTGAACAAATTTGAGAAATTCACCCAATGGGGCCAATAACTTGCACACACCCAACGGGGTCAAGTGCTTGAAGTGGGTTTGTCTTTGGCCCCCAAAAACCAAAGTACTACTGAGGAAGTGCCCTAAGCAGTCAGGATAAACCCTGGCCTCTGGGATCTTGCAGGGGTCATGCCCTGTGGCCAGGGCTCTGCCAGGAGAAGGGGCCCTGGGTCCTTACGTGGCATATAGGGAGGGTGGTTCAGAGTGTCATCTTTACAGCCTGGAGGAACCGCCCCGTTCACAAAGCTTGACGGTTCATTCATATCCTAGAAATGTCAAACACACACATATCTTACTTTTTAAAATAATTACATGCTGTCCACTCCGAGAGAAGTAGGGAACACATCATTCACCAGCCAGTCATCCCAGGGAGACACATCAAATCCAGCTGAGAACTGGCTGCAAAGATCAATGAATCCCTATGGAACGAATGGCTAGGTGATTTTTTTTTTAATTCTCCCTCTAGGTGTGAAGCTAGGCTCAGTTCTGAGAAATTCCTAGTAATCTCCTTGGAGTTTTACAGCAGGGACTTGGTTCAAGGTCTGGGGACTATCGGGGATGTTCCACTGCCGATTGGGGAACTGTAGTCTGACACGTCCAAAGTCTTTCTAGGGTGATTATTATCCCTCTTGACTAAAGGTCAGTGACACATACACAAAGATGGACACACCTACCCACACATACACAGACACAAAACACACGCACTCACAATCCACATGCCATCAAACTTCAAACTCTTGTCTGGCTCCTGGGGGTTGCTGTGCAGTTCTTTCATTTCCCTCTTCCACCAGGTGGCAGTCGAATTACGGAAAAAGTCTGGGAAGGCCACATAAGCTCGGTATTGCTGTAAACATTTAATAACATTTGTTTGTCTCAGACAAATATATTAGACAGCAAATGGGCACTTACTGAGAGTTCAACTCATGCAGCACCTCGTATTACATGGTGACAGAAGATCGAAACATAGCCTAAGGAATGTTCTCGGCTTATTTGAAACACTAGAGTGCAGAGAAAAGACGTTAGCCCCAATTAGACACCTCTTAGCATTTGGAAAGTATCCGTAGACTCATTTCCTCTCCGTATCAACATGACCAGTAGCAACGAGCACCCTGAGCTCACTAGCTCATGTATTAGATGCCCAGCCCCCACCTCTCCCCTGCAATTTCCTAAGCACTCCTCAAAGACAGAGCAGGAGACCAGGAAACTACAGTCAAAAGGGGCAGCCATTAGATGCCTTGTGGACAGGTTGGAAAGAAACATCCAGGTGATCTTCTCCCGTCTGATTCCCACTAGAGAAAGAGGGTGAGAGGTAAGTTTGCATTTTACTGTAGTAGACTAACTATTATGTATCTGTTTTCTATGGTTTCAGAATCACTTGAAAATTGCAGTTTTGTGTCAAGTCCATTGGAAAGACTTCAGAAGGAAGTTTCAACCTCCCCCCTTCTCTTTAGCTTTCTCAGATAATAAAAGGCAGTCTTTAGTTTAACCTGGAAAGTAAACCCAGGGTTTAACTCCTTACTAAACTGTAAGCTTTTTGAGAACACAGACTTCATTTAATATTCTTCTGATTGATCTTTGTATTCCCCAGAGTGCTTAGCTTAGGATCTGACATAAAAATAAATGTTCAGTGCATAAATGTGAATTCATGCCTCAAAGCAGCAGCGAATATTCATCAATTTCTATATAGGCATGTTGCTTGTTATAGAATTGTGTAGTCCTTTGTACGTCTCATGAGGTAAATAGGTTCTCTATGTTCATCAGTGCATTTTAAGAGTTAAAAAGGTAAATAATGCTGATGGCAAGGGTGGGGCGAAGAACAGAAAGAAGACTTGGTTTAGGAAGCCTCCACTTCTTATACACAATAGACAAAAGGCAGGTAGGAAGGAACCCATATGTCTAGATACAGTGCAAAAAAACGGACACAATGCAGAAAACGGTAACAGATCAATATACAGGGTTTCTGCTCACAGAGAAGAGGGTAGTGAGCCACTTCACTGAGAATCTTGTGAGTGGTAGGAATGCCTTTGTGTTGGAAAACAGAGGTGGAAACATGGAGCCAGAAGAAGAGAACCTTTCACCAAAAAGAAAGAGCTCCAGCTCAGGCAGGTTGGGAAACATGGGGTAGATGAGGGAGATGAAGGATTCGAATAAACAGGTTAATACCAGCCATGTCTGAGTCATTAAAAACAAACAAACAAACAATTAAAAGATAGACAAAGGACCTGAATAGACTATTTCCAAAAAAGACATACAAATGGCCAACAGGTACATGAAAAGGTGTTCCACATCACTGATCATCAAAGAAATGCAAACCAAAATCAGAATAACACATCATCTCACTCCTCTTTAGGATAGCTTTGATTGAAAAGACAAGAGGTAACAAGTGTTAGTGAGGGTGTGGGGAAAAGGGAACCCTCGGGCACTGTTGGTGACAATGTAAATTGGTGCAGCCACTGTGGGAAACAGGACGGAGGGTCCTGAAAAAATGTAAAGACAGAGAGCTACCATATAATCCAGCAATTCCACTTCTGGGTATATATCCCGTAGAAAATAAAACCAATGATCCTGAAGAGATATCTGTACTCCCATGTTCATTGCAGCACTATTCACAATAGCCAAGACATGGAAACAATCTAAGTGCCCATCAATGGACAAATGGATAAAGAAGTTGTGGTGCTTGTACACAGTAGAACATTATTTATCCACAAGAGAGAAGGAAATCCTGCTATGACAACATGGATAAACCTAGAGGGCATTCTGCTAAATGAAATAAGCCAGTGCTGGCCGAGTGGCTCAGTTGGTTAAGAGCTCACTCAAGAGTTTGAGCTCTGAGCAACAGCGGTTCGATTCCTGGCTGGAGCTGAGCTGCCGCTGAGCTGCCAACAGGTGGCAGGATGGCTCAGCTTAAAAAAAAGAAAGAAAGAAGCCAGACAGAGAAAGACCAATACTATATGATCTCACTTATATGAAGAGTCTAAAAAAATTTTTTTGAACCCCTAGAAACAGACAGGAGGTAGAATGGCAGTTACCAGGGTCTAAGGGGTGGGGGGAATGGGGAGATGCTGGTCAAAGGGCGCAAGCCTTCATCTGCAAGGGAAATAAGTTCCTGGGAGGCACTGTAGAGCAGGGTGCCTACAGTTAATAATATTGTACTGTACACTTAGAAGTTGCTGAGAGAGTAGACCTTCAGCAGTCTCACCACACACACACAAATGGTGATACGATATGAGGTGATAAATGCATCAACCTAATTGTGGTCATCATTTCACGATATATATATGTATGTATATATATGTATATACATATATATATATACACACACACATACATATATATGTCTCACATTGTACACTTCAAATATATACAATTTTATTTGTCAATCATACTTCAATTAAGCTGGGGGGGTACTAAAATAAATGAATGAAAAATGTCAGGGAGCCGATAACCATGAACTTCTCTGGCCTGGCAGATTCCTGAATGCATGTGGTCTGCCTGGACTACCAAACTTTAAGTGACCTTCTGTGAGAACCAACAGAGAGAACAGGACGCTAGGTACCCTCCCTTGAATCCTTATCCAAGATCCATTACAAGTAAAAACCTGTTCCTAGGGGAGAGCAAGTTTGAACATAACGCTGGAAACTGGGAGATAAGAGCAAAGATGAGAAACCCATGGAAGGAAGGAAAGGGGGTTATCAGAGTGAAGATGGAGAAGCCTGTCCATGAAAACAAAAGCTGTACAGAGAAAAAGATCCAATCGCTAAAAAGAGGGGTGGAAGGTTCTGTTTAAAAGGGATACTCAAGGCAACAACAAAAAGAACAAATATACTAATTCGGAGAAAAGACAGTATGCCTTGGAGACATCGTCCAGTGGAAATTTCATGGGTCTTTGGAATCTGATAGCCTTGGATTTGAAATCACTACTGTGTCACCTAGAAACGTGGACAAGGAATTTAAGTCCTCTGAGTCTTAGGCATGCTGAGGATAATAACACCTACCTCCCAGCTGGGCGTCAAATGTTACATGGAAAGTAACTGGCACAGGGACGAACACACAGGGCATGCTCCCTATGTGGATTCCATGCCCATGCCCATGCCATAGCGATGCCCAGTATGCTGAGTATGGCTGTAACCCTGACTTCACCCAATATCCACAAAGGGCCCTTTACCTCCACTTGGCTCTCCCAGTCTAGAGAACTGTTTATAACGACATCAGGAAAATCAGGCCAAACCTGTGGGGAGAAAAATTGTTCAAAAGCAATACATTAGATTTCTCTTATATAGTATTTCTTAAGAAATTGTACAGCATGGCCCTAGGAGTGATAATACTTGATTTTCATGTAGGATTGATCTAGAGAAAAACGGATCCCACAAAGCACATACGTTCTGTGAGTATGTTGACAAAGCTTGATGGAGAACATGAGAATGTCTGACCTCAGAGCCCAAATGGAAAAAGCCAAAAAAACAACATGCACAAACACACTCACAGTTCCCCATGCCCAGCAGGGGATTAACAGACCACCACTCAGATCGTACCTTTCCCCAGACAATGCCTCCACCATTGGGATCTTTGATAAAGACGTCATCCTCCACACCCCGTGTGAATGCAGGATAGGGCTTTGTCTCGTTTCCGGAAATGGCTGGGTCCTAAAATCAAAGCACAGGTCAAGTGAGAAAACCAAAGCCAGACAGTGATTTGGGACAGAAAAAAAAAAAAAAAAAGAACTCAAAAGGGAAGGCATAAGCTTCCATCTGAACAGTAGAGCTTCTGTGACTCCTGGGAAATATACTTTTCCTTTTGAATCTCAAGTTCTCTACTCATCACATGGAAGGACACATAATGTGTATGAAGTTTTCTCCATCAAAGCCCATTCACTTTCCCAAATAGACTCTGCATTCTCATAGGAACTCACCAGAATGAGGATGACCCGCATCCCATCGCTCTTCATGCGATTAATCAGAGCTGGGAATCCAGCAAACTTGGGGTTGAGGGTGAAGTCCAGCTGCCGCTCCATGTAGTCGATGTCAGAGTACTGCACGTCCTGGGGGAGCACACAAGGCAACTGATTGGCCGCTGTTATAAAGGCCCAGATTCCAGAGGAGAACAGCCCTCCACGCGCCTAACCGAGGGTGAATTTCTGGCGACTTCTTTTAATGCTTTCAAATCCCAGCTCAGTGATTTGCCAGGTACTAGGCTCTGAGAAAGTTACCTAATTTCATGATTTTCCTTCATAAAATAGAAAAAAAAAACAATATTAGCAAAATATAGGATGATAATGCGCCTCTGGCAGGGCTGTTGTGAGGATAAATGAAAACAGCGGGTGAGAAAGTGCCTTGTAAATGGCCCAAAAAGGAGTGATGGTGGTTACCTGCTCTGAGAGGCTACCCCTGCTCTCATGTTCAGAGAAAGTAACAATGTCAATTTCCCAGTACTGATACAACATGGATGGTAAATCTACCAAAAACTAAACAAAACCTGTACTTGCTTTGGAATATCCACCCCTGGGGATGGTTAAAAACAGCTTTTTATTAAGAATGAAATATTGCATGCTATGCTTCCTATTAGTAAAAACAATTGTAAACAACAGAAAAATAAACAATCAAATTCAATATGGTAGTGGTTTCCAGGATCAGTTCTCTGATTGTCAGACCCCTCCTGTCCTCAAGTGAAGGACAGAGGTCGCGTCCATATGTATTTCCTCTGGAAATCAGTCCCAAGATCCCTATGTTCAACCCGGGATTAGCACAAAGCTGAGGGGCCACTGCACCGCAGCACCGGCAAAGTGTTGGGACTGGGGTGATGGCTACACACACAACTGTCGGACGGAATTGGGTTGATTTTTTAAAAATTAAACAATATTACTATTTGGGGAACGTTTTATTCTTATGGAACCAAGGATGCTTTTGACTAAGTCTTTAGAAGTCATGTGAAAGAAATGGGAGTGTGATCTAGCAGAAAATTCCCTGGAGTTGGCCCTATGTCCTCCTTCTTCGGCAAATCACTGTGACTCTAAGATGGGGACCATGACCCCCACCTGTATGACTGGGTTGGAGTGAAACTCAGTGATGTATGCAAAAGCACTTTAAAGAGCTCCACAAAAATCAGACAAACGAATCTAGATACAGAGACAATGGGGTTGGCTATGAGGTCCCCAGGCCAGTACACCACAGACTGAGAACGTACATAGGGGATCTGGGCAGCCACCATGTCATCATATAAGCTGGCAATCTCAGAGTCATTCTGGTATCCATAGCGACACAGCTGAAACCCCAAGGCCCAGTAGGGAACCATCACTGGCCGACCAATCACCTAGAAAATAGACAGAAAATATTATTTGTTAATAAGGAGAATCTGGATTGGGAATGTACGCAGAGTAATAAGAATGCTTTCCCAGTGCCCCAAGTTAGACAACCAACAAATTCAAACCCAGAGAGAAACTCAGAGGGTGCAAAGCCACTGGGATACTCTGGAGAAATCTTCCTGCTAGACTAGACCTCCCTTCCCAGAAATTTGGGAAAATCGGGTCTTATTCTGCTCCCTACAGGCCGTCTAGCTTACTGGTTAAAAACACAGAATCCTGAGGCAAAATGCCTAGGTTACCATACAGGCTCTGATCCCTGAAGGCTATGTGACCCTGGGCAAAAGTTAAATAACCTCTTCTGCGTAGTTTCTTCACTTGTAAATTGGGAATAATAGTATTTGTGAGGACTGAATGAGTTAATATATGTAAAGTGCTCTGACATGAAGTAATATATCAGTGACATATAATAAGTTTTATACACATTTGTGGCTGCTGTCAAAACAACTGTCATGACCACTATGACCATCACCCTCACCATCACCACCATCACCATTACCATCACCGCCATCACCTCCATCACCATCACTATCACGACCACCACCACCACCACCACCACTACAAATACTATCACCACCACTATACCAACACCAACACCATCATACCACCACCACCACCAACACCACTGCCATCATCACCACCACTGCACCAACAACACCAACGTCACCACCACCACCATTGCCACTGCTACAACCACCATTGCCACCACTATTAATTCTTCTACTCTGAAATGCTTTGAGAGGCTATGAATTTAATGGTTATTGGGGTGTATTTATTGTTCCTTATTCTGTAATCTACCTGTCTTCAGGTAAAACCAACAATTCCAGTTGTCATCTGACAACTATACTAATGAATATGGGGTTGGAACATGAATACACTGTATAAATACTTGGTAACCAATTGAATTCCCTCCTACCTCCGTGTACTGCTGAGTGACAAGCTCTGGAGTTGGCCCCAAGAACACATAAAAGTCCAGAATTCCTCCTGTGGTACGGTACGTCAAGGCAGGCAGGGGCTGGAATGTCACATCTGAAAATGGAGGAAAATACCAACCAATCTGGAAACCTTCAATGTGAGGAATTACCCCTGAAATGCACACCTTCTCCCTTTTCCTATGTCTCTGGACTGAGAGCAAATATTTTGTACCATACCTACACAGAATTGAAGAAGTTAAGTGAAAGCCTACAGGATCCCAGCTCTGGATTTTTTTTTCCCCCATTGGTGTGCTTTATTTTATTATATCATTTTGTCATTCTGCTCATTTTAATTATTGCAACTTTTATTTTAGAATGGTTTATGACTTAAAAGAAGTTGCAAAAATAGGACTGAGTGTCCCCTTGTACACTCCCCACAGCTTCCCCCAATGGTAATATCTTACATATCCACTGCACGTTGTCAAAACCAGGCAACTGACACTGATATAGTACTATTAACCCAGGTATAGACCTTATCCAGATTTCACCACGTTTTACATGCATGCGTTTTCCTCCTGCTCCTGAGTTTCCACCCCCTTTCCACTATACCACACAAATTTCCTTCATGTCCTCATCCCCCAGAGTGAGTGTTCTGAGCCATAGCTTCATCTCTAATTCAGATTACATAGATGGCTCCCACTGGCTGACCTCCAGGATATTTGGGACTTGCTTGGTGTTGCTATCCCTTCTTACATGATTTTTGCCAAATGAGAGTTGAGTTAATTTTTGTTACCACATGTTACTGAACTGAAATAAACAGAAAAGCTAAACAGAAATAAGAAGAAAAACAGCACTTCCCACAAGATAATGATTTTGACTTCCGGGGGCAGCTAAGTCAAATGCTGCCCTGAAGTTCCTCCAGGATGATTGGTTCACAAAAATGGGTGTGTGTGTGGGGGGAGGGGAGGGTTGTGCTGGCAACGTCTTACCCATGGCGTTGCTGTTTAGCAGGAGCACTCCGTGGGCGCTGCCATCTTCCTCCAGTCCCATGTAGTAGGGGTGGACGCCATAGGAATTCTTCTTGTACTGGGAGAGTCATGGGGAGAAGTGGTAAGAGGTTAAAAGACATGGTGGATGAGAAAGAAATGCAACAAAAATTGATTGATAAGGTGTGCCTAGTCTTCCCTGTGAAATAAATTAGATGCATAAGAAACAAAAAAGCCTGAGAATTGGCCCACTTGTCGAAAAGCTGAACGTGACCCCCCCAGGCGGAGTCTGGGAAGGTGAAGCGCCGCGTGTACACAGCGTAGGTGGAGAGAGGCGGAGACGCAGAGCCCTTACCCCCGGGGGCTGGTCTCGGGAGAACATCCCCCACGTGTGCCAGTTCAAGTCTCTCCGATAGGCTGTGTGCTCATTTTCCCCAAAGCCATAGATGTACGGGGAGGGAAGGCGAGTGGAGATGCGAATGAACATGTCATTGAAGGTGAAGCCAAGGAGCTGAGAGTCCCAACTGCAACACAAAGGGTATAATTGGAAAAGAAATGGGCTGTTCTATTGGCTTCAAGCAGCTGATTTTTCAAGGACAACAGACCTCTTGATTCCCTCCCACCCCCAGAACCCTGTTAATCTTCCAAGCAAAACATAAAGTCTGTTCGATTAAAATAATCATAGATGCGTTTGCTAAAAGCCCAGGAACCAGCTTCCTTCTTCTATTTTCCTCGGTCACTACCTCCTTTCAGCTCTCGGTCCACAACACCCAACCCAATCCCTTCACCACCTCGGCTGCTACCTGCCACTCCAGACCAGCCCTAGCTTCCTTTCACTCTTGCTCCCCTACAATCCATTTGCTACAAAGCAGCCAGAGTGATATTTAAAAAAATATCTCACATCACCTCACTCCCCTATAATTCTTCAGTCATTTCCATTAAAACACATTTTGATGTCTTCAAGGCCATAGCCAACCTGGAACCCACCTAAACCCCCACTTCACCTCCCATCTCTCACCTCCCTACTTACTGTACAGCTACAACCACACTGGACTTTTTTCCCCCTTCGAATGCTGAGTTTGCTCCCGCTCCCTGGCCTGTGCACTCTCTAGTCCAACTGTATAAAATGTCCTTCCCCAGCCCCACCCAGATCTCCACATGGGTGGCTCACCCAGGACCAATGTTTAATATCACCTCCTCGGAGAGACCCACTCTGACCACAGTACCCAAAGCAGTAACCTCCCGTAACTCTCAGTCATCCTGTCCTTTTTTCCTCCACAGCAGTTTTCACTATCTAAACCTCCTTATTTATATATTAACTTAAAGTATCTTTGTTATTAACGTATTGTTTTTGTCCTGAGAAGAGAGACCTCATCTTCTATAACCACATAATATAGAGAAACATTTGTTGAATGAATGCCTAAGTACATGCAACTGCCTCAGTAATTATTCCAAGGGGGCTAAAGATTTCTCATAAGAACAGACGCAACGGAGATAACTTATTCATGAACATGGGAATAGGTAGTGAGCCAGGGCATCTCCAAGGACAAGGGATCAAGCAATGCAGGTGCAGGGAGCCATCAATTCCAAAGCAGACTAGGAGCCATTTACATTACGCTGCCTGTACTCCTCCGGCGAATTTCAATCCCAAATGGACTCTTCTTAATGAAGACGTCATAGAGTCGACTCTCAAAGGTGCTGGATGGAACCCTGGGTAAGTTGAGAGGGACTGGGACTTCATACCGACTGTTGTTGAGATCATAAATCTAGGGACGGAGGACACAGACTTTAGGTAAGTAGAGTACTCTTAAAACCTATACCCTTAGCAGAACCTTGATGTTTTTGATAAAGAGTCTGAATTCTATATTTCCTTGTCCTCTTTAAGCTCATAATACTGGAGATTTAATTAACGTATCAAAGAACAATGTCGGATTTAACATTTAATCTGAGTCTGTCATATCTCATTTTGAAGGCCTCATTCAAACACACTCACTTTGACATTGGTGCTATCTTAGAAAATCAGTCTGGAATCAGTTTGGTATTTATGAATATATTATTTATTACTTTATGGGTAGGTATGTGTGCTACCTGAAAACTTTCCTGCACTGAAAACAACATCCGCCAAAAAAACCCCATAAACTCTACATGATCAAAATAATCATAGATGTCCTTGCTAAAAATGGGATCTAAATTGATTCATTGAATATCAATTATGTTCCTGCTCATACTGAGACAGCAGCTCCTGCAATACTACCTTCTCAGGCTCTCGAAGATGTCCACAGCTCTCCATCTTTTCTGTACCTAGTCGAGGCTTGAACCCTCATCGGGATGACCTCACTGGTAACCTCCCACTATGCCTCTCCTTTTTCACCCTTGTCTTCCCAACCACTTTCCTTACAGTAGACACAGTAATCTTGTCAAAATGCAAATTAGACTAGGTCTCCCTGTTCCATCAATCGTTTCTCATTGCTCTTGGGATAACGATCTAGTATAAGGTAGCCTGGTTAACTTAGAAAAGCAAACTTATTTTAGGGCTCTGTCACCCTGACTAGCAAAAAGTAATGGAACTGAGAAGTGTCTAGTCAGTAGTTGATACGTAGACGGTAAACACAGACCTTGAACTGCAGCATGTCATTCTTGTGGTAGGTCACCGTCAGACGGAGGGGGTTCACGGGCGTTGAGGGGAAAGCGTTGGCATAAAGGGAGGACTTTAAGGAGATGATAGCCGTGGCCCCGTGTGAGTCATACTGAACATCACTGACAGAGTAGAGATCATTGATGAAGTAGCAAAAAGGGACTCCTGGAGTACTGGATGCCTGAAAAGTAAAGCCAGAGTCAGCTCAGCATGTGGTCCTAGGATTATCAATATAAAGGGGCTAGAAAAGGCAATTTCCAGGGAGGTAAAGCCATCAGTGATTTGCCTGTAAACTCTTTGGTCATGACAAAAGTTTAAATTCCTGGTCTCCGTGCAAAATATTTGTTAAAAGAAATCCCATGTCACTCGTCTCCCGACCTGCCCTTCATATCTAGATAAAAAAACTCAGGTAGGTTCCTTTGGAAGTCCTTTCTTTTTGTGGATTTTAAGTAGTGACTTGGGTATTGGTATGCTTATGAAATTGTAGGCTAAGTGCAGAAAATTTTAATGTATGTTAACATGGTCAGCATGGTTACCTCCCAGGCACAGCCACGGGCAGCACAGTTTTCTGCAGAAGCACCATTCTCATCGGGATAACAGTCTATTTTTTCTGCATCCTGTATCTCCAGGTTCCACTCCACTGTGTATGCTTCTCCCAGGACAAGATCAAGCCCTGTGATAAGGGCAACCTGTAGGAATGAGGAAGGAACAAGGAAATTGACCCCCAGGACAAAGGCCCTGCAAGATCTGAAACTTCTTTTAGGAAGGGTAATCGAAATTAGACCAGACCCAACAATCCAAGTAACGTACCACTGCAGCTTACATGAAGAGAGCTATATGGGGCGGGGAGGGTGAGGGACGACCCAATGGCAACAGGGCAAATGTCACAACTCTACATGAGTTGTGTACATAACGTTTTGAAAAGGATCTGAAATAAAACCTTCTGTAATCACCCCTTTTCTTCCTTCCCCGGCTCCTCTCCCTCTTTCTTATTTTGTCAGGAAGTCTCTCTTCTGTACTTACCCTTATAGCATAACACACACACACACACACACACACACACACACACACACGGTGTCATCCCAAACCCAGTTTATCTTTTTGCCCGCTATTCCCAAAGCCAGTGTCTCCCATTGTCATTGGTATGGACTGGTGGCGAGAACACAGGAATAATAATCATATATCCTGGGTTCTCATCTCCATTCTGCTGCGGCAACTTAAATTATTTCAATTCTTTGGGTCCCAGTTTCATCAACTGCAACATTGGTGGCTTGGCAAAATCATTACATTTCCTTCTATTTCTAACATTCATTTCTCCAAGTCCAAAGCCTCAAAACTTGAAATCTTATTTGAATTTCACTCACTAATTCAAACACTTAACATTTTTCTTAAGTTTGTCTCTTCTTTAGAAATTTCCATAGTGAAAGTTCTCATTTGTCTAGAGCTGTAAATCACATTCTAAGGATTATCACCCTTCTTCCAGTCTCCTCCCAGTCTAAATTCATCTTGCACATCCTTGTATTACAAATCTCCCTCCAACGCCACCACTGCCCCCATCCAAGAACAATGTTCTCACAATGGCACCATCTTGATTCAAGGATCAATGAGACCCTTTGAAAATTAGATCAAGTCCTTCTCATTTTGGCACTAAAACCCTCCAAACTCTGACCATAGTTACCTGTCCAAGCTGATCTTCCAAAAGTGAACCCTACCTATTCCAGTTATGCAATATTCACAGACCAATGTAAGGCTCTTCTTGGTCCTTAGATTAGCGCATTCTGATATCTCAACCTTGAACGCTTTATCTAGGCAAATACCCTATCTAGGAAAATGGTGTCCGTATGGAATACACTGCTAGTTGCCTGACCTCCATAAAAGTTCTTCTTACTATTTCAGTTTAGGATACTGAAGTTCCCAATGAAGAACTGAAATTTCAACCCATGTAACACAGCTGTGACCATTAAGTACAAGTCTACTGGAAATTGTTCGCCAAGTGTTTCTTTCTTGATTTAAGGGCCTACTTGCTTCCCTCCTGTTCCTTCCCCCCCACCCCACCCCATAACAAGGCCATGGTGACTGGAATTAAGTAGCCATCTCCAGTCACAAGAGAAGACCTCAACCCTGACAACCTTGAGCCACTGAACCAATTCCAGCAACTGCCTACTCTCAAACTTCTTATTGCATAAAAGAAAAAAAATCCTAATTTGTTTAAATTACCACTTTGCTGAGTTTCCTGTACCTTGCAGCCCAACAAATCTCTACCTGATGAACCATCTTTCAAAGTCCAGCTCTCGCCCTGCCTTTTCCATGGGCTTTGCTCAACTACCTCATTAAGCTTTGAACATTAAATTAGGAATTGTATAAGTTAACACTTCCTATGTGTTGGTTTGGGTTGCCTGTCCCTTTCCTAACAGTTTCATGCATGTAAATTGTGCCTCTCCAGTACCCGAATTCAAACGATAAGAGTTCCTTTGGTCTTATATAAACTTATTTATTTAACAAACATTTATTGAGTGTGTTTTCATATGTCCATCCTTCAAATGGCTTGCACTTTACTGTACACATAGCCAAACATATAATACTTTATTTCTAACTTTATAATGTACGCATCCGCAATGTACGTTGTCAGGACAAAATGTCAAATGTAATCAACGTATCATTATAGTGGAAGACCAAATTGACTTATTTTCTCCAAATTTGGGAGGTCCCTCACCAACTATGCTGACCCAGCTGCTTTCCAAGATCATCTGGAGAGCCTGTAGTAAGGAGTATTCGAGGAAAGGATTCCTCATGAAGCTAAAATATCAGAGGAACTGATTACAACCCGTTTGAGAACATCAGTTCCCATTACGACTGATGAAAACTTATTTTATTCTTATCATCTAACCAAATAAGTAGCCGTTAGCTAGGCTTGCCAAATTCTTTGACTTAAAATATTTCCTAAAAATGTATGTGTTGGAGTGAGATTCTACACAACTCAATATAATAAAAATAAGCAAACAAAAAAAACGCACCTCAAAATTTTCATTAATGGGAATCCTACCTTTGCCTTGCTAACAGCTTTCAGATCTACTTTTCCTCTAATCCTATTTCCCACATTCCCGACTTTGCTCCCAGTCAGACAGAATACTGAGGTGCAAATAGGGGAATAAGGATGAAAAGACCATTTTACCTTCTCCCAGTTTTTGGCAGCTCCCTCATTCATTCTAGCATTGGTCCGCTCCTCATTGTTTTTCTCTCCTAACCCTCTCACTTCCTATCCCAGGCCTCAGAGTGTGCTCTGGGCCTTCAGAGCTCATGCAGCCTTGGCAAGAAGGGTAGCTATGAAGAATTCATGATAAGGGCCGGCCAAGTGGCTCAGTTGGTTGAGAGCTCACTCAAGTGTGCAAGCTCTGAGCAACAGTGGTTCAAGTCCCGGCCTGAGCTGAGCTGCCACTGAGCTGCCAACAGGTGGCAGGGTGGCTCAGCTAAAAAAAAAATAATAATAATAATAAAAAAAAAAGAAAAAAAAAGAAAAAAAGAATTCATGACAAGCTATCTCAACAAAATGGATTTTTACCTGTAGGTTAGAATCATAAGTGACATTGGGAGAAACTTGACTGAGGACACCGTTGTGTTTCACTGTAATGTTCATCAGTTTCTGGATCCCAAGGATCTTAATCTCTTTAAATGCTAAATTATTGGGGTCTTGGTAGGTTGATTGCAAAATCTTCACATCCAAGCGGTTCTACAAAACAAATGCAAAAGTCTAATACTTAGAATACACAGATTCTCAAGTCACTCAAATATTCCATCCTACCCCAAACTATTCTGAATGCTCCTTAGCTGCCTCTACTAATGGGTGCTTAAACAGCACAAACTTATTTTGATACCCCCTGAGGAAAGAAAGAGGGAGAGAAGGAGAGAGGGGGAGAGGGAAAAAGAGAGACAGAGAGAGAGAGGGAGGGAGGGAGAGAGGGAAGTGCTTGGGTGGTGGGGGAGAGAAAGACACACAGCCATTTTTAAAAACCACCTTTGAAACACTGACTACTTTGATTTATCTGTATCATTACCTCTTTTTACTAAAATGAATGATTCAATTATTGGGAGTGAATTCATAAATTGAAACGTGCTCACCTACAGTTATAAATGCACATGAAGCTATAAATATAACTACACACAGACACAAACACACATGAGCTCATGGTAGAACAAAAGCTCACATCTAAGATTCATAAAAATCTACTACTCACTTGGGTGACGGAAAACTCACATAGGATATAGACTTTATCAGCCACAGTATCTGCAAGTGAAAGAAAGATGAACGAATCAGGCTCTGGCCTGCCCACCCCAGAAGAACAGGTTTTACTCTGGCCATCCTGGAAGCTATATCTTGAGAAGGACAGATTATAGACAGAGTCTCCCAAGGGAAGCCACTGTTTTCCCTTTTCCTTTGTGCCTTAACCTTGAAAAGGTTCCCTTGCAAGTGCTTCCGGGGCATATGTCTCAAGTGAATCTATTTCCTAAGCTTGAGCCACAAGTGTTGTTAACAAGGTGGAGACAGAAAAATGTGCTAAGAAACTCAATGTAGACACACTAGAAAAGTATAATCTCACTGCCTCACAGGCACGGATATTTTTTTCATATCATCGACCTCTGTTCATTAGGATTTTCGGGGACATGTCTACACTGAATGGCGAGAACAGTCTTGAAAACATCTCTTTCAGGTTCCCGTTGACAATAAAATGAGAGCCTGTGAAAATTGCTGGCCAATGGGAGAATTCTACGAGGTAGAAATGTGCTTTCCCTTCATCCGTGTCCATCTGCCACTACCCATGAACAGTACAACTAAAAGCAAAATTCTTCTCTAAAGCAATTCATGCTATGCCTGGTGGGATCTCTTCCACAGCTGAATGACCAGCGAGAGTAACTCAAAGGTACTCTCGAAAACAGCAAGATTGTCACAACAGTGCTCACCTTTCGTTTCCCCATCATCCCAGAAAAGTTCGCCTTTTGCTTCTTTGTTGTCATCTAGGGCAATGATAAGGCCAAGAGGGTTCCGTCGACTGTGAGAGACAAGATTTATGTCAGATGCAAAGACTTAAAATTCAAAATTTTGTCAAAGGAGCTGGCAACGATTCTTTCAAATTTCAGATGGGGCTCTACCAGCAGCAGATGGCTCTGCTTTTTTTCAGGCACAAAGGCAAAACCAAAACACACCTTTTCTAGAATCAGTAATGTCACAGGAGATAGAAAAATACCCTGAACATTAGCAATAAGCATCTAAGTGGGAGGCAAGAATTTAAGCACCAAAATCACTGCAGTAGCTACAACAAAAGTTGCTGGTGCAACTATTATATAGAATACAGACTACTAGCAAAGAAAGAAATCCTAGACAGTGATTGCTCCAGCCTTGTCATTTTTGAGATGGTACGTGCAGGAGAAATATGAAATGTGGTTGGGAGAGATAAAAATTTCCCCCTGCCTCTGAACCATTTTGACTCTGAAAGCAATAAAAATACAAGAAGGTCTATCTCTATAATGGCAACTTTCCTAATTTAATTATTGGTTTGTTTTGAGAGAAAAATAAAACATTCTAATTATCTGCCTTATAATTTAGAATAGGAAACACAAAACATTATGCAAAAAGATGGTGAAATAGATGGACATAGAGAACGAAGGGAAAAGAAAGAGCAATTACATTTGGAATCTTTTTTTATTTCAGCATCTCCCAATTTTCTGCCCCTGCTGAATCCCTCTCTGACCTCACAGTCCCTATTGTATTCTTTCACAGTTCAGCCTTCCACTCTGCCCTGTATAAGTTGGGTTTCATTGTCAACAAAGTCACCTGCTTTTATCTAACACACATATATTGAGTAGTTTTCATTTGCTAGGAAGTCCAAGACAAATAGACCACACCCCATCGATGACCTTAAAGATTGTAAGAAAGATGAAGTATATTCACCAAATAATCAAAGGAGAAAGTAAAGAGTGACACAGAAGTTAAAACACTTATAGGAGTCCAGAATGACACTTTTAGCAGTACGGCGGACTTGATATTCTGAAGGACCCACCCACTAAACTACTACTTGATCCTAGACAAGTTACAACACATGATGTTTGAAGGGAGATAATATGATCCCAAGTTGGCAGCAGCCCTGGCTTGTAACCAGAGAGAAGGCAAATCATCTCTGGAGGAAGGAGACCCATATTTGGACCCTCCTGAGGAACAGAAATGACCGGCTCAGCCAGCCTCCCCCTTACAGGAAACACCCAGCCATACTGTACCTGGCCACCGTGGTTGTGGCTGGCTGTTGGATAGGGAAGATGTAGCCTCCTCGAAGGTGAAGTCCAATTTTGTCTCCAGGAAGTTCCATCTCCACTTTTTGCTTTCTCCAGCTCACTTGGCGCCCCTGATGGAGGCAGACAAATCAAACCCACTGGCGTGAAAGCACATTCACCTCCACCTCTCCCCCACGTGCTGAGTTGTCTATGGCTCACTCCTTTTCCCGCCTAGCTGTCTAGAATTACTGTCTAGTTGGACAATCAAATAAGAGGAAGGAAAAACATGAAGAACAGCAGCTTTTGCCCTCAGCTGGGGATTTGGGAGAACTTTTATGCCATGCGGAGGCTATCTGACATACATTCTGTGAGCTGATAGTTCTAAACAAGTAATCTAACTCACGACCAAGTTCAAACTGTCTGTTGGCCTCTCCAACATTTGCCCATGAGACACTCCACTGGAGTCTCTATCTTATTGATGACTGAAGTATATGGAAGTGCGTTTTTCAGATGTCATCATCACGGATGATAAGTGACTTTGGCTTACTTCATCGACCCTGCTATGAAATTACAGAAAACACTATGGGAACACCCTGTGCATGGACACGTTTTTCTCTCTCCAGGGAGGTGCCTTGTCTATACAGCTGCAACTGTGGTCTCCAAGAGTGTAAGGAAAGACAGAGCTACTTACAGTCTCATAATCGTACCAGGTGGCATCAGGTATATATGCCGTCACTTTCTTGGCACCCTGAAATTAAAACAAAATATTGTTCTTCATGGCCCAGCCTCTGAGGGGGACAAAATAAACTTCTTAGCAAGTCCACAGGGGACTTCTTAACCATATACCGAGAGTGCATAAATGACCTTTCTTTTCTCTGTTATCGAATCATGCCATTCTTTTTATAGGAATAATAGAGGCAATAACTTGGAATTCAAAGAAAAATGCCCAATGGAACCACATTAATAATAATAATAATAATAATAATAATAATAATAATAATAATAATAAAAAAATGTGTTGTGGAAAAAATTCCAGCCCTACATTGATTACCTCATTCAATCTCCCCAACCCTTCCCACTGATGGGCAATATTAATATATCTCCTTTACAGCTGAGGAACTAGCATGATAACTTGTACCAGATCACACCAGGGCTAAGTGGCAGACACCACAATCACACCCTGATCAGCCTGACCTTAGAGTGAGTGCTGCCTCACTGCGCCATTCTGCCTCTACATCATGGAGCAAGTCATGACCTGCTATGAGAATCGGACAACAAATAGGACCATTCTTAAACGCAGATTCACTAGTAGATTCTTCTGTCTACACTGATGGGGAACTTGGTCAAGAAAAAAGACTCAGAGAAAAAAAAAAGTGTAAGTATCAGATATCAAACTTCCCCACACCCTGCACACTGTCTTCAAGGCTGAGTCAGCCACAGGGGTTTGGAATGGATCTGGAACAAGGAGCAGATAAATGGTTCCGAGATGAGAGAAAGGTTCGGAGGGGAGCAGGAGCAGAAGCGGAGACCACCCGCATGTCTCTGTGGGAACACTTGCCTCATGCAGAACTGGGGTGATGAGGAGGCCGGGCCCCCAGAGAAACTGCTGGTGCACGTCCCAGGTGTTGCTGTCCTTATAGAACCTGCAGTTTGGAGAGATGTTCACTGAGATTCGGGCCAAGGCTTCCTGGAAGCTCTCCCCTCAGCCTGCCCAAAGCATGCAGGCTCCCTGCCTGGGGCAGCCCCTGGAATTATTCTGTGACACCTAGTCAACCCCCACCTCTCCATTCCTGCAGGGGGATCCACCTCCCCAGCCCATGTAAACCTCCTGCTCTTCCCCCAGGTTAGACAAAAGCTCCTACTCCAGTATCTATGCTAGGCGGGATCCAGGCTGGAATTCTATGTGTCATAACGCCCCTTTAAAACAATAAGTAAGATAAGCAATACATTTTCAATCTTCAGCCGGCTATCAAGAAGGAACTGGATTTGATCACGAAAAATAGCAGATAATATAAAATTGTATAGTCTTTCCACTTTTAGGATATCTGCCTTTTAACAGAGAATACCAGGAGATGGCAAAACCTTACCCAAAATAATGGGTAGATAATAATAGAGCAGATATGTGCCCGAGGCCCTAAAATGTAGACACAGAAGGAAATGAACCGTATTTTGACAAGGTGGGCCTTTTAAGTCCTAGAGCCTGAACACAGTGTATTAGGAAAGAGACCATCAAGTTCAAGCTATCAAATCCTTTAAGACTTAAGAAATTAAGGATAAAAGAACTAAAATGATTTGTCAAGATAAAGAGTTAGTTGGTGACAGAACAAAGAAAAGATCCCAAGTCCCATGACGTTTAGTCAAGCTTCCTCCCCAACAGTTGGCAGTCCATAATGCTTAAATCTGCCCCTAGAATAGTATCTAGACAGCAATAGCCTTGCAAATACTAACTGGGTATTCCAATTTAATACATACACACACACACACACACACACACGTACGTATACATATATACATATAGATGTATCTGAATAGCTGTATGACTTGTTTCCATTTTCATTCTTATATTTGATGATACAGTCAAGGTCACTCAGTTGCATTAACTAAAGTTCCTGGGGTTAAGTGGACTTACTCATGCAGAAGGGGCCTGGCCACTGTGTCCCCATGCCTGTGAGCGCGATAGAAGAGGGTGTACAGATAGGGCAGCAGAGTATAGCGGATGGTTAGGTAATGCCTGGAGGAATTCAGCAGCAGAGAGTCAGCTCCAAAGGAGGCAGGATCCTGGGCCTGGAAGGAAACAAGAGCTTGCAATTGTGATCTGGCTGCAAATAACAGAAGCATCTGGGAAGTCCAAATCCACCACTCATCACAACCAGGGTTTCCTTCCTGAAAGACCCGAGGCCTAGGTTGCAAACTCGGCCTCCAATCAGTACAGCTGGGCCAAGGGATCATTTCACCAAGTAAGTGGTAATGTTTCCCTTTGCTCCTTCCCTCGTTCTCTCTTTAGGAGTGTTCTCTCAGGAGTCTGCCTGCTAAATAATTTTGAAGTATTTCCTCATCTGGTTCTCAATGGCAACATGAACAATGTAGATAAGGTGTGTAGAGGTTGGATGAAAACCTTCACAGACTCGCCTTTCCCTTAGACTGCCCCCGTAGAAAGAGCAGAGGCGGTGGCACAGGGCATTTTAATGGCACATCATAGGTCCCTGTGGATGGCAAACAGTGGTGCAACGTGGTGCAAGTGAAGCACCAGGTAGGAGGCTGGCTCAACTGGTTGCTTGGCGAGGGTGCAGACAGTCATGGTCCTAATGCGCGCCAAATTTATTGTGCTCCTGTCTCCTGGGAGTCTCTCACCTTGTAGCCTTGGCCATTGTGATTCCTGGAAAATGGATAGAATGCTCCCAGCTGCATCCACCGTCTGCAGAGCTCCTCCGGGGCATCCATTGCATAGCCACAAATGTCAGGACCCACCTGGAGGGACAGGCCACTCATGAGTGTCCCCCCCCTCCTTTGCTTTCTCCCAGAGACCTCCCTACTGGACTGTGCTAACCTCTTACTGAGAAGGCTAATATAATGTGACTCAACTGGGTTATCTCCTGTGTCTGCTTGTTATTGCCAGGTGACCTTGAATAAGTCACTTAGACCTCTGAGCCTCAGTTTCCTCATTTTGCTAAAGTGGGCACTATTAGCGAATAGGGTTTTAGTAAATGAGATAGTGTAAATAAAACACTTGACATACCAATAACTTTTTGATGAACAGCAACTAGAAATACAGTGGATATTATTTTGGCCACACTACTATCAGAATTAATTTTCAAAAATGTAAATTTGATACTGCCACTCACCTATTCAAAAATCTCCAGGGTCTCCTTGCGGCTTATCCTATTATCTCCTCAACACCTGGTTCCAACCCACCTTTCCAGCATCATTTCCCATTCCAGCCCTACACACCAATCCTTCTAGACATACCAAATTCTCCCCCTTATTGCTTTTGCTCAAATTTATTTCTTAATTTTAAAATGACCTCCCCCATCAGTCTGATAAAACATACCCACTTTTCATGGTTAAGCTCAGGAACCATCTTTTCCATGAAGTTTCTTTTGATTCCCACCCTTGACATCCTTTGTTCCTTGTAATCTCATCTGAGTTAATATGTCCCTTTCTCAGGCTTTCCCTTATCATTGAACGTGTATGTCCCTGTTGGCCTTTTTACCCTAGCTTGTCATAAATATTTGCTTATATAGGTCTCCTCTTACTAAATTATAAACTCTTTGGGGAAAGAGAAGGTGTTTCTGTTACTGTATTTATGCTTTTCTCTACCCTCACCATGCATAACTAGCTCAGTATCTTACACACAGGAGTTATACACACACACACACACACACACACACACAGACACACACACGTTGAATTTAACTAAAATATGCCAAAGCCATCTCTCAGGTGCTGACAATGTTATCTTTCCTCATCTGGGTGCTAGATACACAGATGTGTTCAGTTTGTGAAACTCATCAATGAATGTCTACTTAAGAATATGTGTACTTTTTTGCATGTACATTTTACTTTACTAGAAAAATTTTTCCAGTGACATCACTTCGAGGTTGCACTTCCAATCTTTATAAGGCAGTGCAGGAAAGAGCATTGTGGGACCAGAGCCATGCTGATGCAGATGAAGCATGTGCTCTCAAAACATTAAATCCCTTGGCCATGGCGGGTAGGAGAGGGGAGCGTTAGGACTGACAGCTTTCTAGAATGAGGCTTTCTAGGGACTGAGGTTCACCAGAGCGCTTGGATTGTGGACTCACCATTGGGATACCAAAAAGGTTGAACTCAAGCATGCCGGGGATGGACCATCGGAGGTCATTCCAGGTGGCCGCATTATCTCCTAACCAATGGGCTGCAAACTTGCCTGATCCCGCGAAGGTGGAACGGGTTACAATGAAGCTTCTCTTGCTAGGAAACACAGTCTTGACGGCCCTAGAAAGAGAGAGAGACTCAGGAGTGCTTGTGTGACCTTAGTGGGTCTCAGCCTAGGGACATATGCTGAGGTCCTCAAAAGTTAATGCCCCATTCTTCTCGCCTAGCTCTCTGCCAGTAGGGTTGGAATTACTGTTGGGAGCAGACTACGCCATTAGGTATATTTATGTTTTGTTGTGTTTTATGTACATCCATAACTCCATAATTTCCAAAGTAGCCTTGAAAAGTCTAGTAACTAGAGGCATACCATTTTTATGGAACAAAAGGTGAAGTATACATATCCGTAGCTGTCTGTGTATACATCTTCCACATCACAGGATTTCAGACATATGCAAATAATGAACTTATGAACCCCCTCTTGGAACTTAAATTCTTGTTTAAGTAGAAACACTTTGATCACAACTTTGTAATAAGAAGAGACATTTTAAAATTATATATGTATGTGTGGGCTTTTATAAGTAAATATAAATATACATCATCTATATATTTTTAAAATTATTATAATAGAAGTCTCTCATATACTTAAAAATGTTTGCTCTATGATGTTTTCAACAACTTTCAAGAAGGTTAACATTACACCATGACGTTGCTAACTAATGAATGCAGTTTTGGTCTGGCTTCTTGCTGTCACAGTTACCGTGAGTGGGGTAAACTGTCAGTACCTTTTCCTCACTACAGAATTTGAGTCCACTCACAAAGGCAGACACAGCACAGCAGGAGGGTGCTGAGCCAGCATCTAAAACCCCAAAGCACATGAGGCCTGAGTTACCTAACCCTCCATCCTCCAGTGTGGCCAAGAGCAAATATACGGTTCTAGGACTCATGCAGGAATGGGCTTAAATTTTGCTTTTACAATTTATTAACTGTTTGACTTTGATCAAGTTACTTCTTTCCTTCCTCCAACCTTCCATTTAGTCATTTATTCATTCATCCTTCCATTTCGTGCATCCCACAAATATTAGTTGGATTCCTTCTTCCCTATGTGCTAGGTAGTTTCTTCATGCATTCAATAATCACCATACTTAATTTACAGAGCTCCGGCACCTAGCATCTAGCAAGATCAATAACTGGACACGTATTGAGGCCATAGCAATAGTATCCTTACTCTGCGGTGGCGATGGCCATGGAGTAGCCGTAGAGATTGTGGACATCATACTGCTTGCCCCAGTGCTGCACGGCATCCATGCAGAGGGTCTTGCAGAACAGGTGCCCATCCAGGACTCCTGGGAAAAGAGGGCTCAGGCAGTGAGCTCTTAAGAGGCATATTCCCTGCTCCTGGGCTGCCAGAGGACCGGAAACGGTGGCACCCTGCGCAAACGTTTACTGTGGCCCTCCTGTAAATGATCATACAGCTTCCCCACTGTCAGAGGGTTATATACTCTGATATATAAAGAAATGGTGTGGACTCATACACCTTCTCCCCGCGGGGCACTCAGGTGACCAGAGGAAGCATTTAGAAGCAAGAAGACCCAGTTAGACTTGAGAGTCAATCTGAATTCTTCAAACTGAGCTAAGTTAAGTGGCTCAAAAGGAGAAGTATTAGGTGAAAGTGGAAATCAGCGGTTCTCAACCTTTCACAGGGGTCGCCTAAGACCATCGGAAAACACATAGTTTCGATGGTCTTAGGAACTGAGACACCGCTCCTCTATCCATCTCCAGGCCCACATGCAGAAACGCCCACATACGAGTACCCGGCGACCCCTGTGAAAGGGCCGTTCGACCCCCAAAGGGGTTGCGACCCACAGGCTGAGAACCGCTGGTGTAAATGAATTTCTCTCCATTGACCCGATATTATAAAGGATGATTGCCCAATCTCTCTTTCACTCATCGATTCTTTTCTGCCCCCACTGCACCATTCTGGTTCAGATCCTAATCACCTTTGGATATTAACTATTGTAAAAGTTCCTTAATGGCTAATTGATTCCTGATCTATTGATTTTCTAATTCCTACTGCACATTAACACCAGATTAATATTTCCCCAAACCATTTGACTATCATATTTCCCTCTTAATAGCTTCTCTCACCAAAAGAGTAAAGTGTGAACTGTTTAGCCTTCTATCCAAGTCCCTCAACATTTGATTTTGACCCACCTGCCCCATTTTCCTGTTCTCCCACTAGACTGGAAGTCTTCATAAGATACTATAATTCCAGCAGCTCATTCCTTTCTTAATCAAGATACAATTTGTCTGTGAGCCTATAGCTTTTTTCAGACTAGAATAAATGCTGGGATTTCAGGGCCACACCCTGATAACACTGTTTAAAAGTCCAGTCTGAGCTCACTTGTATCATATTCACTGACTTTGACTTTGACCTCCCAAGCCATGGGTTTCATCCTATGGTTCAGGTCTGTTCTTCACACTCTTGAAATCACCAAACTTGACGCTCATCTGAAGACCAAGCCTGGTTATGTGGTCTCTTTCTAGCCAGCTCTGACCTGTGGGGGTATACTCTAGAGCAACACAGACTAATCACTAGCTTCTGGTTTTTGCACCATATCTTCCCTTTCTAGGACCTTCCCTTAGAAACAGCTCAGGCTGTAGGTAAAAGAACTAGATTGCCCCCTTTTGAATTGATGCCTCATTTAGGAAAGCATGGAACGTTTTGATTTTCTTTCCTGGTTGTCTTTATATATTTCCCACATTCTCCTTTCCCTATGCACACTTATGTACAAACGCCTTTGCCACGTTGTTCATATCTATCCTTATGAATTTCAAATACCGAATATACAATGCTACTTTAATCAGACTAATGACCAAGACTTACTGGGAGTGAATGGGGGATAATTTAGGTTGCTTGTGGAACATCCTGAAACAGAGCCATCAACGAAGTTGGAGACCTCATTCATATCCTACAAAATAAAGAGCAAAAACTATTAAGAAAAAAATAACATGTCCCCTTACATTGTACTAATGGTATATTTATTCTTTTTGAGGAGTCAGAAAAATGATTCCAGATACTTCTGTTTTAGAGAGGTTCTTATGTACAAGGAGAGAAACAGGTGTTCCTGTCTCCTCTATGCATTGAAGGTTTCATGGAGATTCTTAAAAATCACTTCAAAATTGCACATGTCTGTAATCACTGAAAATGAAAAATTCCCAAACACATTAGGTGAAAAAACATTTTCAATTTATATGATTTCATATATATCAACTTATTCATTCTCTGTATATCCAAATATAATCATAAATACACACACATAAATACTTATACATATAAAAACATACATATACACAGAGAGAGTGAGCAAGTAAACATGTGCCAACAGCTTTGCAAATGTGTGGGGGGGTCCTGGAAGATACCAAAATATTGATATCAGGTAGATGTTTTTTTGTTTGTTTGTTTGTTTTTAGCTGAGCCATCCTGCCACCTGTTGGCAGCTCAGCTCAGGCTGGGCATTGAACCGCTGTTGCTCAGAGCTCAAACTCTTGAGCGAGCTCTTAACCAACTTAGCCACTCGGCCGGCCCTAGATGTTTTTAATTCATATCATTTTAGAGGGTTTTGCTTTCATATTTTTAGCTCTCTGTATTGTTTGAATTTTCTACATTTCTCTTCTAAATAGAAAAAAGTTCAACTCTAGAGCTCCTTAAATTTTGCTGAACATTTGTTGCTTTGCATCTGTTTCATTTGATAATATAGAGACATTTGTCTTTGTTGCAGCGACCGTTTTGCACTCAAAGCACCTGGGCACTCTAGCTCTGATCGGTTTGTCTGACGTGTCCAAATGAAAGAGCCCTGAACTGGCAACCGGACAATTCGTGTACCTTGTGACAAAGTAAGGAGTATGTGACCTAGTTTCACTTCAGCTCATTCATTTGTAAAAGAAGTGGTGGACTGGGAAAAAAACAGATTACTTCCAACGATAACAATCTGATTTTGATTCTAAACTACATGTTTTGGTAAGATTATCTGAATAGTAAGATAGGGAATTTGAACAGCAAGGAGACAAAAAAATCATGACCACAGAAGAAACGCACAACTTTAACATAGACAATGAAAACATTCAAATTGTTGAAGATTTTGCTTACCAATTCAATTCAAATGGAGACTGCAGCCAAGAAATCAAAAGCAGGCTGATAGTCGGAAAGGCAACCATGGAAGAATTAGGGAAGATCATCAAGAGCGCAGATGAGTCATTAGAGACCAAGGCTAAGGTCATCCACACCTCCTAGTCCCAATTACTATGCATGGAGGAGAAAGTTGGACAGTGAAGAAGGCGGATAGGAAAAGACTTGAAGTCTGGTGTCGAAGAAGAGCTCTACAGATACCCTGGACCACCAGGAACAAACAAGTGGGTCTCAGAGCAAATTCAGCCTGAAACATCGCTGGAGGCAAAACTGAGCCAACTGAAGCTGTCCTGCTTCGGGCACCTCATGAGAAGGCGGGGTTCTTGGGGAAAGAGCAATGCTGAGTAACGTAGAAGGCAGCAGGAAAGAGAAGACCAAGCACGAACTGGACTGACTCCACACAAGAAGCCACAGGCATGAGTCTGCAGGAGCTGAGCAGGGCTGTGAGGATGGGACAGGGTGGACGTCACTCATCCATAGGGCCGCCGGGAGCCAGAGCCAACTCAACGGCATGGAACATGCACACACACAACGTAGGGAATATTTAGAATGATTGCTATACTCATTTCCCCCTCCTCCTCTTCCCCCAGTGTTCCATGATTCAGTGACATAGATACACATAGTCTATTAGTCACCTAATAATCAAAATGTTAAGAACTCACAATCCAGATTCCATCAAACTCCACTTGATTGTGAAAAAGCTTAAATTCATTTGCCCACCAAACAGCACACCTGGGGTTGGTGTAATCAGGAAACACAGTTTTTCCAGGCCAGACCTGCGGGAGAAAAAGAAAAAGGCTGATTGGAGTAAACCAAATGAATATAGAGTAAAGTAGAGTACTTTGCAAAGAAATTCCTAATATGATCACGGGAACAGAGGTGTCAGGCACAGGTCCTTCTCAGTTAGGGATGGGAAGAGCTCCAAATACTTAGAATAAGTGTCAGGAGGAATCAAACAGACACTTGAGGAAAAACTTATTTTTAAAAATTGGCTAAATTCTTGCTACTTTGCAGCTCTGGTTCACCTTTCCCTCTCACTTTCTCTACTCCAAATTTGAGGCATGATAAATGATGGCAAGTACTACAGACATTTCAGCCGGCCCATTGCAAGCTGTGGGTTCCGATGTCAATTACTCTTCTCTATTCCTTTCCTGTCCGCTTTTCATCAGACACTATGTGTTCAGGTGAGCAGAGGTATAAGAAGTAAACCAGCAGATTACACCTTCATGGAAACCAAGGGCAGATAAAGGTTTGAGAAAGAAGTGGTCAAACTTGTCAAATACTACAGAGAAATTGAGTGAGAGAGGAATGAAATGGTTCCATTGGAAGTAGTTCCACAGGAGGTAACTGGTGTCATTTGCCAAGGCAGTGTTGGTGGAGTGATGGGGCAAGAAAGTAGACTGCAGTCAGCTGATGAGTGAATGGGAGGTGAGGAAGCGTTTATTCAGTACGGAGGCTGCTGTTTAAAGGGACTTGACTATGAAAGGAATGTAAGAGTGAGGATGGCTGGTTAAGTACTTGCGGATGAAAGAACAGGGACAGTTTATCCCTAGCATATACTCATACAAGGCATCTGAAAATGTAAAACAAAACAACCTCCGCCAGCCACCCCCCCTCCCCTGTTAAGTTACCTCCCCAACAAGTGGAGTCACTCCATCTGAAGCATTCACCCATATCTTCATGTCTGAACCCCTGTCATAGGGGCCATAGGGGTTGCTTGGGGAAGACTTGTTGGAGATAGCTGGATCCTAAGAAGGGAAAAAAATACAATGAAGGACCTCGCTCTAAGCTAGAGGCAGTGAAAGGAGACTGGGAATTGGGGGACGAAGGATGGGGACGGGGGGTGTAATGACAAGGAAGAGCAAGCACCTGATTTCAGGGGGCAAGCACATACCACAATGATGACCAATTTCTGTCCGTTATTGTGTAACTCCTTAGCAAAGTCAGGAAAGCCTTTAAAATCTACTGGGTTGTAAGTGAAGTCCTTCCTCTCATCCATATAATCAATATCAGCATGCTGAACGTCCTGAAAGAATACACCAAGTCCACAATTTATCACCTAGGAATTTCCGTTAAAACGAGTCAGTTGTTGTTATTGCTTATGACACACGCTGACTCTATGCTGGGCTCTAACCAGGGTTCTCCATCAGCCCCTGGCATTCGAGGGCTTCTTTTCCATGGTAATTTCAAAGCAAATGACCCACTGTTTCCCCGAAGGCCTCACCCCACCCCTGGAATCAGTGAAACGGCAGCATCCTACTTGCTGCCTGGACCCTGGCGTTAAAAAACCAGTCTAACAAACAAACCACAGCAATTCCAACAAATCATTAAAGCTATCAAATACATATCCATCCCTAAATCCTACCCCCACCACAGATAAAGGGGGAAGGGGCTGTCTTCTCCACTTCTTCTACCTCATTTTACTACCCCACATTTTGTTTTGTTGCTTCCCTTCTCCTTCATGTCTTCTTTGACGATGAACCTTTCCTAATTTTACCTATATGAAAATCATGGAGCCCAGAAGGAAATGACTTTTGCTCTAGGACCTAGTTGTCTGCCTCCAACGGAACGGGATGGGAGACAAGAGGAAAATTCCTGAGCCTACTGGGCTTTTCCCCTTTGCATGTTTTATAAAACCTCACTCCCCATTACACAATAGAAACGTTCCAATTTAGACTAAGGATAGAATGACCTAAGTAAGCAAATAGTCGACTTTCTTCATCATTTCTCTATCAGTGTGCATATAAAGGACCTGACTAGCCCTCTAAAAAAAAAAATGTAGCCATTGAAAACAAAAATATTTTATTACGTGTATGTACCATTTTCTTTTGCTCACTTAAACTAGGGGAAGAAAAGCCTTGAGAACGCAAATAAAGATGCATTATGTACAATGTAATGAATACAGTGAGCATGAGAAAATTTTACTGATAAGATATGTGATAAGAAAAAAACAGACAAACACAGATTGCCTCCTAGCCCCATCATTGTGGTCTCTAAGTATGATTTCCTACTAAAAGGAGACAGATTCTTGAAGGAATGGCTGTCCCAACAAAAAAAGTGTAGTGCTCTGAATAGATAAACATCTTTTTATTGCATATTTTTAAAAAACTCGGTGGGGAAAAAATAAAGAATGAAAAAACAAAAACAAACAAACAAAAAGAAAAAACTCAGTGGGGAGAAAGCATAAAAAGTTATTCTTATTTCCAACAGAACTCTTATTTTAGGAGGATTTTGTTTGTTTGTTTGTTTTGTTTTTGTTAAGGAGAGTGCAGCTCAAAGTGGCCCATGCGGGGATCGAACCAGTAACCTTGGTGTTACTAGCAAAACACTCTGCCCAACTGAGCTAACTGGCCACCCCCAAGATTTTTTAAAGGCCTTACGTAAGGGAGCTGTGCTGCCCGGTTTCTCTCCACAACCTGCTTCATGTTATCTAGGGTTCCATAGTCATAACGACTGAGATGAAATCCAAGTGTCCAGTATGCGGGCAGGGCTGGCCGTCCAATGAGCTAAAAGAAATAATGTGGAGTAAAAGTTAGAAATACCCGATTTTTAATAAAACTTTTTCTAAGCATGGATTTGGAGCCACAGAACAGACTCCATTTCCCAACATTTCACTAATGTGAGAATGCTAATCTATTTTCCCAGGCTCTTTATAAATTTCTGAGGGCTGGGTCAATTTGTCATAGCAGATATACCGTAGCTACTTCTAACAGCAGATTTGCATGAGTCCCACTTGTCTATGAAATTTGCTTTTCTGTGTGCTAGTTAGGATTTCCACAGTCGTAGTCAATAATCATACGTTTACCTCTAGATACTCTTGAACAACTTGCTCTGGAGTATTTCCCAAGAACACATAGAAGTCGAGAATGCCCCCGGTGGTGCGGTAAGTGACAGCTGGTGTGGGCTGGAGGACGACGTCTGGAAAGATTAAAAATGAAGAAAAGAAAAATAAGAACTTTATTCTAGAGTGATAATCACCAGGTTTTAGACCAGAGCATCACGGTTCATCTGGACATGAGGAAAGTGATCCCAAAAGCCTCAGGTTTTGCATACAAAGGAACAAACTCTGAAGTTCAAAGTCCACCCTCACAGCCCACGAGAGTCCCCACAGTCGTTCGGTGACAGATTTTGATAATTGGTGACTGCAGTGTCTTAATTCCTGTGTCAGGGCTCAGGTTCTCATGAAAAAGCAACCAGTTTCCTGAAGGGGTCCAGAGTAAGCCGTTGTGGCATAAAAATTATTTTAAGCTGAAGACAGTTGAGTTTCTGAAATCCCTTATCAGCCTAAAAGCAGAGCCTCCCAAAGGAACTCAGTTGTCATAAACCACCTCTCCGGACCAACTGTAATCTCCTCTGAGACAATAAGTTGGCATCAAATCTGAACAGACATTGTCTGTTCTCCTAAGGGCTCCTTTATCTTTCCAAAACGTCATTTGTTTTCCCCTAAGTTTCCCCCTACGTGCCTTTTATCCCTCCCTCCTCCTCTAAAAAATCATTTTTTGTATCACAAGTGCCTTTCTCTGCCTCCCATTTACCTATTAGGACGGTATATAAGCCCCAAATTCTAACCATTGTTTTGAGTTACTCGTCACTGAGCACTCTTGTGTGCACACATGTTGTGTGTGTCAATAAACTCTGTCTTTCCTCTTGCAGACCCGTCCATTGTCAGTTTGAGTCACAGGCCCCAAAATACTGAACCTAAAGGGTAGAGCAAAAATGTTTCTTCTTTGACATCACGACTACAGAGCATGCTGCTCCCACCCTACACCCCACCATTACTGCAGGAATATAACCCAACTAGACAGACTGAGGTACTAGCCTCGTTAAAAAAAGTCAGAGATTATATTATCAATTGAAACTCTAAGCCCCAATCACAGTTCTCAGAGGTGAAGTCTCCCCGTAGCCTTGGTTTGCAATTAGGGGTAAAAAGCCTCAGGGTTTACTGAAATGTAATCTTTGGTCACAGGCACAGTTCACACCGAGTATCTAGGACGCTGTGGGTCTGACTTGACTCCTTTTCTGGTTCCTTTCAACTACCTGAAACTGTACAATCTTTGTATCATCTCAGTCTGTTCTGAGACTCCTAGGGATCTCAGAATCATCTAAGATTCTACTAGGTATCTAAGAACCATCTTAGATTACCTATAGTGATTCTCAAACAATCTGTGGTGAAGGATCAGATCTTAGTTTTTAAATGTCCAATTCTTTGCAAACTGATACTTTTGCAAGATAACATGAAAATGAATGACTAGAAGAGGGTTCATGCTTGGATGCTACGGCAATGCTTACTCTCAATGTCTATACTCATCTTACTGTACACCTGCAACAGTTCGGGGACCATCTGTGGGCCACGCTCCCAGTAGCACGGATCTACTCCCTTGATTCTCAGTTGAGAAGAGGGTGGGGATTAATATCCTGTGCCCACCATCCACCCTGGGAGATTCAGATACATCTCTTCCCCTGTGGTGACTGAGTCATTGCCACTGAGATCTGCTGTCAACGGTACAAGCAGAAAAAAGTTGAGAATCATTGATCTAGTCTAAAGCCTTAAAAGATGGGAAGCTAGCTCCTTTTTAGAATTCTATGATGATATGCTTTTGGGTCTTAACCAGTCTGATCTTACTCTGCATGACCCTTGCCACCCCACTTGACCTTGCTACCTTTGGAGTGTCTGAATATAAGTCACTGCTCAGTTATAGCTCCCTGGGTAGGCCGAGTGACTGTCATCATTGGGCCCAGGGCAATTGGCTGTTTCCTACCCCTTTTCTGGATGAAAGTCTAAGGAAGGAGAAGAAATAATTAGTAGAAATTGTCTCAGTAGATTACAGGAAAGGGCTAGCTGTCTTAACTCGGTAATAGAAAATATTCCAATAGGGGCAACCAGATTCAGGAAAATCATAAGCTGGGAGAGAAACCCCTACTCATGGCTACCATGGGTCAACAGGTAACGAAGTACGGGTGGAACAGTCAGAAAACACACGAGGCCCTAAGCGATGGCTCAGCCATTCCTAAAGGGCTCCATTCCTTGTATCATAGTGCAGCACAAAAGGGACTCAAAATTGCTCTTGTGCATTTTTTTATGAATATTCTTTAGTCCTTTACCCATGGCATTGCTGTTCATCAGAAACACTCCAAAGGATAATCCACTAGCATCTTCAAGGCACAGGAAGAATGTCTGTGCCCCATACAAGTTAGTTCCATCCTGCGGAAAGATAGTTAAAAGCCACAAGGTTACAATCTAATAGTCTAAACTCCACTTGGGCAGAAATAACTTAGACACTCGGTATTGATCTTGTGACTAGTTGACAGGGAACTCATGGGTTAAGAATACAAATAAATTTTTAAAATATAATGTCTATATTTGGTTGATGTTACCCAAGTGAACTAGTGTCCCCTTGTTGAATGAGCCAGCTATGACCATTTATCTAGAAGGAAAGTGAGCGCTCGTGACATCTATTAGATGCGGGAGAACATGATTTTTGAAATTATAGTGCAAAAACGCTCTCCTCTCAAAGTAACTTGTCTTAACCTGACCTAGCCCCATCTGCAAAAGCTCCATCGAGCCATCTATGAGTCAGGCACCTTCCTAACGTGCAACTAGATGCAGCTCTACTTGACATATCTGGTCTTCTCGTCTTCCCAATAGCAGACGTTTGAACTTGAGCTGGTCGTCTAGGCTTTAGAACAGTACAATAGTTCTCAACCAGGGCTAAATCCTAGCCCGATGGAAACAGAATTCCTGGGGATGGAAGCAAGCACTGATGGTTTGTTAAATTTGCCCAGGTGATTCTGATGTGTAGTCAGGGCTGAGAATCACTGCTCTAGAACATTTCACAAAATTTAGTGTGCATATAAATTACATGGAAATCTTAGTTAAATGTGGATTCTAATTTAGGGGTGCGAGAGAGAGCCGAGAGCCTACATTTCTTACACGGTGGTGCCCAAGCTGCACAATTCAAGTAGTGAGCACCTGGGGCTCCTTATAAAATAACCATCACCAGAAACTCGCAGCTGAGCTGCTCTGACTCAATGTCTTTTCTGGTTTTCTGGTTTTCTAGGCAGGCTATGAATTAGATCTTATCTCTATTACTTACAAACTTTTTTCCCCCCATTGAGGATTTGTTTTGCTTTTCTGAGCCTCAGTTTCCTTATCTGTTTAAATGGGATAAATTATACTTATTTTTTTCAGAGTTCTTTTGGCAAATAGAGATAAAAATAGTCAATACATTATTCCTACGATCTTTTTCCATCCAGCCACTAATTCTGCTTAGGCAGGAAAGCAGCTGACCCAGACCTGTATTGCTGAACCTAGAAAATGCCTCTGCTTTGGGTTTTAGCCATCAAAACAAAACAAAAAAAGAAAACAATAAGAACACTATTCTTTCACTGCCCTAAACATTCTTCACACAGAGAAGGATGAACACAGTATTTTAGTTGATATGTTATGCTATGTTGCTAACAAACCTGATAAGTTGGTGACTTACAAAGGTCAACCTAAAATATGGAGAGTATAACAAACATTGTGTAGAGTCAATATTAGTCATGTTTTCTCCAGAACTAGTTAGTTCAAAAGGAAAATATAATGAAAAGTAGCTGACATTTACTGACCACTTTCTATGTGGCACAGGCTCTCCTAGAGACTCTATACATATAAATTTATTTAATTCCCATGATGACCCAATGAGGCAAGTATACTGCCCCCATTGTATAGATGAGGAACTGAAGACACAGAGAGGTACCCTGCCCAGAATGGCATAACTGGCGACTAGCAGCGCCAGAGTTCAGACCCAGACACCCTCCCCCCCCGCCCTAGAATCTCACTCTTAACCATTATACTGTACTGCGAGGAGTGACCTTCAAGGATGAGGCTAGGACAGTGGAAAGGGGCCCTTCTGAAAGCTTACCCCATTGGGGGTTGTGTCCCTGGCAAATATGGGCCAGGTCTTCCAGTTCATATCATGGCGGTACTGCTGGTGCACGTGTTCTCCCAGACCATACACGTTAGCACTTGGCAGTCGGAAGGAGAACTGCAGGAACTGATCAGCAAACAGGAGGGGCCCGATACTTGAGTCCAACCTAGACACAGATGGAAGATACAAGGACAAGTGGACAAGTGGAGTGGTAGGACACACCTGCTTAGAAAAGTGGCCTTCACGTGTCAGTGACTCAATACTCCCTATGTAATCGGCCCCGTTTGCCCTCCTGTGACATTTCTCCATGGACGCCAAGCAATCAGGAGCTCTTGAAGGTGGGTGCCATGTGGCGCATTTCTTAGATTTGTCCCCTAGACACCCTACTATATGACTAGAATACTATTCATACATTATAGGTGATGTCCCATAAATAGTTGCTGATGGCTAGGTGGTTAAGGGAATGGAGAAAGGAAGGGGGAAATGAAGAGGAAAAAATGATCAAACAGAAAGGAAAAGAGAAAAAGGCCACAGCCCAGTGCCTGGTGTATAATAAATGCTTAGTAATAACAAAACAAAAACAACAACAAAAAAGAGATAATGAGGAAGAAAGGCAGAGAAAAAAAGAATCCATTTGAAAGTGGAGATCTGGTCACCAAGCTTCAGGAATATTGCTGAAATGCACCCTTTGTCAGGCTTGCAAACCTCCCTCCCTTCCTACTCTCACCCCCGGTTAGGGGTTTCCAAAACTTACAGAACGACACTGTTGCTTTCTCTCCTCACTTTGATGCTGAATGGCTGTGGGGAGACCTCAACTTTATAGGTCAAGGGAGAAGCAGCATCTCCTTGGAAGGCTTGGACATGTTCATGGGGCACTTCGTACCTGTCCTTCTTTGAGTCAGTTAACTGTCCAGAGAGAGGAAGGGGAAGAAAGCTGAAATGAAAACATCTCCGTTTTTCCAAAATGAAAGCATTCCCACCAACACCAGTGCTTCCCAATGGCTCATGGTACTGGAACGCGGGCGCTGATCCAAATGGCGTTAGGTCTAAGGTATGTGTATGGACACGTATATTACCAGATGTTGAATCTGTGGGCGTGTGTTAAGTCTTTAGGTAGAAATATACACTCCAAGTCTGCAGGGATGGACCATCTCTAGGATTTTCAAAGCTGTCATAATTATTTTTTTTCTCCTCTCTACTACATTTCACGTGGTGTTAAAGGCAAACAAATGAAAGCCAAAGCTCACCAGTCAACTCCATAATATATATGTAGGAAGTTATCCCACTCAAGGAAGGCTATAGGTGCCTGCAACACACATGTGCTGACTCGGAAGCGTGGCAGTAGAGAAACACACCTCCGTTAGCAAAATTTCCTATTTTGTAGTGACTGCAGTCATCAGGTAGGGAACAAGAACCTCTCAAAAATGACTTTAAAAAAAATAAACAAACTGCAACCTTAAAGTGGAAGCGATTCGATGTCTGGTATTCCGCTGTGAGAAGGACATTGTTGACGTCATTTCCAAATGGGGACGGAGAAGGCAACCTTTTCAACTGGGCTGTGAATCCTGACATAGAAAGAAAAAAAGGTTCACATAGCTGGCAGTGTACATTTGCAAACAACAGCCACATAAAAAATGATGCTTTAGGTCAAAGGGGCTGGTGAAAGACTTTATTTTCCCAAACAAGGGAAGAAATAGACACATAACCATCACGCATGCATATCATTTTGGTCCAGAATCTAAAGCTGGGCACCGTTATTACCTTATCCAAAAACCATGCCTTCTTCTATGAAATCTGATTGGAAATCTCCCCCAAAAGGCCTAACTCTCATCCCACCAGCCCACCAGTCATTCTGTGTTAATTACAGACCCTGCACACTCTCAGCCCTCAGTTTGTATACATACATTATTCCTTCTTGGTTATTTTCATGTTACATTATAGGTGATCGTATACATCAATGCCATCTCCCTAGTTAGGTAAGGCAGGTGAGTATCGAGACTTTAGCAAAGCCCATCAGGCCAAGAGCCTCTAGAGGAAGATCATGCCTCTTCCTTTATGCTAAGAGCTTCCCCAAAGCAGCCACCTTCTGTTATTCCCCAAGGTGTTTATTTTCATGCTCTATGTTTTAGGGTGGGAGGAAGAAGGGAGGGAAGCAGAGGGGGTGTTTAGTCCACGCACACTGACATCGACTGGCTAACTTTCATAAAACGTTTCAAAATTGGAATTGTTTCCATAGCATTAAAACCACATTATATTAGAGTTATAAGTAGTCTCAGAGGTGACAGGGTTCAAATCCCTCCCTTTAAAAGCGAAAAACTTGGGGACCAAAGAACTCATGATGCTTGCACAATGTTACGAAGGTACGTAAAGGTAGAGCCAGGAATAGACCATGTCTCTGAACTCCCAAGGCAGAGTGACTTTTTTTCCCTTGATGGCAAAATAGATTCTAGTCGTCACTTCCGAGTGGTTCCCACCTTCTGTCCCAGGCAGGAGTGTGGCGTGCAGAGCAAACTCGGCATGCCACGAAGGCTGGCCTTGGGAGCAAACAGAGCCAACCCGCAGAGGGTCCGGAGCGCGTGCCTCATGGTCTGGCTTACCTGCCTTTGTGTTGGCAAAGTCGCCCTCCATCTGATAGCCATGACTCTTGGAATAGTAGCACCAGGGCACACGGATGGTTCCCTGGGGATTCCAGCAGCAGCCACGCTGCTCACATATGGCCTGAAATCAGAGGGGAATCATGGTAACTCCATTTCTTTGTAGAGCACTATTATTGAGAAATATAATTTTGGCTTCCGGTATCATTCACCACATTTTACAAATAAGGGAACTGATACTTAGAGAAACGGTGCTATGTCCCAGTCAGTGTACAACTTGTGCTCAAAGCTAAGTGTTGTGGCCAATGTCCTTTCTTGTTGCTGTTATTATATGACAACATAGGGGTCACAATACGGTCCATATCTGTCATCACAAAAAAACTGATAAGTTTATTTAAATATTCTAAACTACAATATAGTGATACCACCAGTAACCCAAAACTACAAATGGAGCTTCATTTATATTGGTTTTGGCTTTAAAAAAGCAACTTTCTCATCAACTTTATTCAGAAACTTTGAAACAAGTTTACCTTGATTTTTAAATGTGTATATTACACATGTGATATATATATATATATATATATATATATATATATATATATATATCTCCTCCCAAGGCAGAAATTGTTCCTTGAAACCAAAACAGATTCTAATTGTTATTTAATGAAGGTGCCTGCCTTATACCACAATTAGTGACTGAAGCATGTGGAGACAAAAATGAATACACTCCCTTTCTTGCCTTAACTAACTTGGGAGAGCCAACCAGGTTAAATACAAAAAGTATAGTGCCAGCTCCCCTGAGTGTGGCCTGACCTAGTGACTTGTAACTAACAGAATGGGGCAGAAATAATGGATTGCATTAGATCCCAGAACGATGGTGTCTCATGTCTTGCTGGCTCTTTCACTGGCTTGGGGGCAGCCTCACTGTGGGGGCTCTCTGGCCAACAGCCAGCAAGGAGCTGAGGTCTTCACTCCAATAGCCCCTGAGGAGCTGAGTCCTGCCTACAGCCACATGGATGAGCTGGAACAGGATCACCCCACAAGCCCAGCAGACACCATGGCTGCAGTCTTCTGAAAGACTGAGCCAAAAGCACCCCACTAAACAAAGACCAGATTTCTGACCAAAAACAAAAAGCTGTGAGAAAATAATGTTCGTTGGTGTAAGCCATTGAGTTTGGGGATAATTTGCCACACAGCGATAGATAACTAATGTACATGATTTAAAAGGTAAGGAGCCTGAGGCCCCAGAGGGAAAGGTTCCCGGAGGTGAGCAACCTGCCAAAGGTTACGCAGTTAGCCATTGAGAAGGCTAGGACCAAAACGTCCATCTCTTGCTCTCCAGCTCCTTTTTTCTAGAGTCTGGGTGGAGGACCTGCTGAGCACATTTTCAGGGGGATATGGCTTAGAGAAACAATTAGATTTAATCAAAAGTTAATTTTTATATTAATAGCCAATATTAAGAATGGAAAAACTATGTCCCTCTGTGGCTTTAATTACTATGGGCTCAGGTGTTACTGTGAACTCCACTTCAATCAGTAGTCTTCGTTGTTTCTTTCCGAAACCCACTCAGATGAAACTTCAGTATAACAGGAAAAGAGAAAGGTGAAGAAAAGGTGTTCAACAAAATGGTCTTGGTATGCTCCCCAGAGCTTAATGATATCTTCATTGAACTGGGAAGGGCAAAGACCAAAGAGTGACCAAAGCTGCGAGAAAAGAGAATAGTCTGTGTCGACCAACTCGAATACACCAGTTCCCGCAGCGCAGCTAAGCGGTTAATGGAGAGAAGCGGGAGAAGGAGCAGAGCACAGCACACGTAAACGGGAGAGGAAATAGTATGTAGAACTTAGGAAAACACCTGTAGAAAGAAGCTATAAAACACAACGACCTAAATTAAAAGCACACACAAAAAAGTAAACCCAAGACACAAAAATGCCCCTGTCAGTTGGACATGAAAATTGAAATTTAAGAGAAAATTTAAAATGTAAGGAAAGAAAATAATATACATGAGGGCGTGGGGTAGGAAGCCGTGCATAGAAAAACAGAACAAATGGAAAACACAAAATGGAAAAAAATGTGTCATGTCAATGATCCCAAGTTCTACATACTTAATTTAAAACATAAAGGTAGATGACATTTAAAGAAATAAATTCAGCTAAAGTTGCTTAGTGGAGACACACCTAAAATTTAAGCTCACAAAAGCACCAAGAGTAAAAGGGGGTGAAACAGATACGTGAGAAGAATGCTAACCAAAGGCTAGTGTAGCTACAGTAACATCAGACAAATAGACCTTAAATTAAAATTCATTACTAAGGAAGCATTGAGTCACTACATGATGATAAAAGGTTCCATTCACAAGGAAGATATGGCATCTCAAACTTGATATGCGACTAACAATAAAAACTCAAAATATTTACAGAAAATTTTTAAAGAATCACAAGGTAAAATTGAAAAAGATAGTAGACATAACGGAATATATTTAAAGAGCTCCCTCAGTAACTGATAGGAACAGTAGACAACAAATAAAGATATTTTACTTTCTACATAATAGACATACTCGCATACAGGCAACCAACAGAAAGAGAAGGACTGAATTGAACTCAGAGATGAAAACCATCCTGAGGACACTGTTTAAGATCTAAAAAAGCTCACTGTACACAAGTCCTATTCTCCTCCAAACCCAATGCTTCTTAACACAAAAGAGAGAGAAGAAACAGACTTAGGATGCATGAGTCCTCTAGGTGGGCTTCTGAGCAAGTGGGCTCCTAGCACGCTACGTCAGGGGCAGTAAATGGGTGTGATCAGCTTGCTGCAAACCTGGTGTGCCAAACATCCTGTGTGGGCACAACATATCTAGACCACAACTTCCCATTCCTACTGACAAAGCAGCACATTCATGGTTCTCTATCTACGCTACAGGCCTAAACATCATCTTCTCTCTGGCACCCACCCTGTATCTTGGACATATGGGACCATTCGATGTCATGTATGTGCCCCACAATGTCCTGCTCTGTCATTTCGTCTGCACTCTCTCTTCTGTCTTGAAATCACTTTCCATTCCTCCCATCTCTGTCAAAATCCTACTTATCTTTAGTTCCAGGCTATCAGATTCTCCTTGATAATAATAATCTCTTCTATTTTGTGATCCCCATAGTATTTCTTTTAAATCTTAAGAATTTTTGTTTTCTATCCCAGTTATTTAATTACTTAGCTTATCTCCTCTACCTATCACACACAAAAAAATGTTTAGTTTCATCAAACCTGTCATCCAAAATGCTAAAGTTTGTGGCATTTGACCCCATACTGAAGTGCTTTTGTTTTTCTTTTTCCTTTATATCTTTTTCCCTTTATTTCTAAGTCTTTGATTCTCCCTTTTCTTTGTTTTCTATTACATGAGTCCACTCAGCTTTCAATAGCTGTTCCTAGCTGCTGGGTATCAAAAGACCAACCCCCTCTGCCTGACTTCTAAGGTCTTCCAAAATCTAAATCTTTTCTGTTCAATCTTTTCTTCCTACCCCAAGCAGGCAAACCTCTTCACTAATCTAAGAGGAGGCCATGTTCATTTCAGCCAGGGTAAGATGCCAGGTGAGGGGGACTGAGCGCTCCAGTGGTCTTGGTAAAGTAAGCTGGTCTCCCTGGGGTCACTTCCTGCCTTCGCAGGCTTGCTGCCCTTCTGTGCCCTAACAGCTGGTCCGATACTGTCCTGACAGCGCCGTCCTGATGGCTAACTGTCTATCAGATTGGATCTCTCTCTCTCTTGCCTTCAACACAGCCTCTGGGCTTCCTGACTAGTTTTGTCCCATCGCTTGGCTCCAATCTGCAGTCCGTAGGCATCTCTGCTACTCCCAGCTACTTATGTAGCCTGGTCCTTTTCTTAGCCTTCACTTCCGGCGCTCCCACAAGCCCGGGCGATCTCACCCTACAGCTCTTCTCTCATCTGTTCCCTCTTTGCTGCCTCAGTTTTCTCGGACTCAGCATCTACACCATTTCAGTCAATACCAAAGGCTCAACCATTTCCACAGTTCCCCTCTCTGTGAGTTTGTCCATGTTGTGGGCTGAATCATGTCCCCAGGAAAGACACGTTGAAGTCCTAAACCTCAGAATGTGACATTATTTGGAAATAGGATTGTTGCAGTTGTAATTACTTAAGATCATACTGGAGCAGGGTGGGCCCTTAATGCAAATGATTGATGTCCTTTAAAAATGGGAAAGGTGGAGAGACAGAGAGAGAGAGAGAGAACGCCATGTGAAGATGGAGGCAGAGACAGGAGTGATGCAGCTATAATGCAGCTATAAGCCAAGAAACACCAAAGATTGACAGCTGTCACCAGAAGCCAGGAGAGAACCTGGACTAGGTTCTTCCTCAGAGCCCTCAGAAGGAATTGACCCTGCCAATACCTTGAGTTTGGACTTCTAGCCTCTAGAAGTGTGAGAGACAAAACAGAAAACAAAAAAAAAAGTGTTTATTGGTCTTAGGACATTTAGACAAACCCAAACAGCAACTCTTAAGCGCATCACTGATTATTCCAGCCTCGCAACAATAGGATGGCGACAGAGGTAAGTGTGAGAGTCCCACATGTGCAAGCATCACGGGCAGCAAGCGTCCCTTCTGGGTCGGACACAAATCTGACATTTCATGCCAGTGCACTTTACCCAGAATGCTGCTGCATTTTTTTTTCATTCATTCTCAGTGTGAAAAGTGACTGATATGGTCAGTGCAATGTATTTTATAATCATAATATTCAGCTGGACTTCAGCTGAGGATCAAGAAACAACGCCCTAAAGTAAATACCCGGATGCCTGCACTATCTTTATCTGGTATTTATTATCTTCCTCTTTCAAAGCACAGCTCTTGAAACTTTGTCCTTATTTTAAATCATGTTTCATGCATGTGTATGACTTTTTTTATTTTTCATCCTAAGATAACCTTTTGGAATTGTGAAAGGACGGAGAGAGGATAAGAAAGAGAGGCAATAACTGAATCAGAGAACTGGTAACTAAGCAGTGTTGCCCAACAGACAATAAACCCATTTTTTTGTATAAGTCCCAAGTCTCGCATGGGACATGCTTACACGAAAAATTGATTGTTTATCTGAAATTCAAATTGAACTGGGAAGCCTGTACTTTTATTTGCTGAGTCTGTCAACCCCAAAGAATATTCTAGCCCTTCATCTCCCAAAGCTGTGCTGTCATACACGCACGGGTACAGAAGTCATTTGCCTGAGCCACCAACAGCTGCAATGCCAACAACTCTCGGGTAATGGAAAAAAAAAAAAAAACTCTTTGCAAATGGAAAACAAAAACAAGCACACAAACAACATCCAATAGCATAAACTCTTCAATGAAAGGCAAGATCCAGAATTCGAACCTTGTTAGGTGTCTGCTCAGGGATGCAGTTTATACGCTCCACTTCATTCGGCACGGGGCACTCAGGAGGTGCAGGGGTGGTGCTTGTCTCAGCATCTGGATGGTCCCCAAAGCAAACAGAACATGGCTGTCAGACACAGTTAATGTCCCGAGCATTCGCTGATCTCCACAGTCTCCATACCTGTGATTATACGAACTCCACTATGGATTGGGCTCCACTCTGACGTCCCTGAAACGTATGCACTCACTTTATCAACCTCACTTTGCTCTTGCTGCCTGTATTTATTTACCTCCACGTATCCTGCATCATCTCCTTCTGCCACCAAGGCCCTCCGCTATGAGAGTGTGCAGACGAGAACAAGGAGTGTGACCCCACCATGCGATGGAAGCTCACCACGGCAGGAGGCAAGGCCACCTTCTCTAGTCTAGGGGTCAAGAAACTGTGGCCTGTGGGTCACATCACGTCACGGCCTGATTTTTAAATAAAGTATTGGTGGAACGCAGCCACGCCCAGTCGTTCAGTTATTGTCTACGATGGCAGAATTAAGTAGCTATGACAGAGGCCGTATGGCCCACAAGGTCGGAAGCATCAAGAGTCTGGCCCTTTCCAGCAAAGTCTGCAGACTCTGCTCCGGGCCTTTACTTCCACCCCAGCAGCTGGTTCACGATAGGTTTATACACGGAACCTGTGCAATGTCTGTATTGTCTTGAATGTTAGTTACCCCTCTAATCACAGTAACCTCAGTTCCACTTGCTCAGTCAAGAGGCAGTCCCAACAAGGGACACTCTTGAGTGGTGACATTCTTATGTAAATAGAAAGCCTCATATCACAAAAAAATGTAAAGGAAGCCCACTGTCAATAATAATAATAAATGGAGCCCCTTTAAAATGGAGCTGGAACTGCCATGCCAAAGGACCTGCCTTGCACGCCTTATATGTCAGGTCTTTGGAATGTTAAAACACGACAAAATAACTTTTGGGCTGGGTCTAAAAAAACATTGTGTCCCCCGCCAGAAATGTTTGCAAAGACAATAGAAAGCAGTTATGACTACTAGACTGATGGCTGAAAATGAAAAACATGAACATGAACATCACTATGTTATGTTACCTGCACCAATAGAAATGCCTTTCTTCTACTGGCTGTAATTGGTCCCCTTTCCTTTCTCATAAACACTCATTGCCTTTGTCTCCTAATCAGAACATTATTAGGCTTCTGCCTGAATCAGTGATTCCAGAGTAGCTATTCTAATTGATATCAAATAAATGCTTTTTGCCTCTCACTTTGAAAGGCCTTTTTATTTTTAGGTTAATACTACCAATCTAGAAATTGGCAGCTGGAATCTGCCCAAAGGCTTGGATTCAGATTTAAAAATCAGTAAAATTAAAAAGACACATTTAAGGGCCGGCCGAGTGGCTCAGTTGGTTAAGAGCTCGCTCAAGAGTTTGAGCTCTGAGCAACAGCAGTTCGATTCCCAGGCTGAGCTGAGCAGCCGCTGAGCTGCCAACAGGTAGCAGGATGGCTCAGCTTAAAAAAAACCCAAAAAAACATTTATTGCATTCTAATACAAGGAAGTGAGATTTCTTTAAGGCACTCTGCAATAAATTAATACCATTGAGACAAAACAAGAGACTTTTAGGGATTCTAACTCGAAAGTGGTGGATTAAAAGAACTCCCTCATTGTGGCAGTTTCTGCACAAGGGTTTTTAGTTCCATCTTCAGAATCATAGAATTGTCAGAGTTGAACAAACTTTGAGGTTATTTCACCTAACTTCCCACAATAGTAGAATTGCTGGAGCTGGGAATGAGGACAAAGGTTTCCTCTGGCCATAGAGGGGCCCACATTGCCTGGTTCACCTAGGAAGCTCTTTCTAGGGGAACCAGACAAGAAATCATGGATAATTCAGCACCATCCAGCCCCTCTTTTAGAATAAACCTTTTCAATGAACTTTTAATAAAATAACTCTGGTACTTGTTACGTTTTGAAAGATCCAAACTTTGGACTAAAATACTGTCACTGATTATATGCTTACGTGATTGCCTTTCATATTAGGGCACTGTTCATTATAATTGCTAACAAAACTAGAATTGGTTGGTGAAATATGGCCAATAATTGTTTGTGTAAGTTGTGGAACCCTGCACTGTGCTAACTGGGCAATGAAAGTGTCAGAATTCAGGCCTACAATGAATATCTACCGAGCTGCCAGTTTTAGTTAGGTGCTCCCCGACACACATATAACGCCCCCCCCCACACACACACACACTCTCTTTCTCTCTCTCTCACACACACACACACACACACACACACTCACACGCGTGCGCACACGCTCACACATGCTCACAGCAGAGAACAGGGAGCATAGATTCCCAGCCATTGATGAGGGTTTTGCTCTGATAAGAGCATATATGGAGAGGGAACACCAGAGTTCCTTGTTACCTTTTAATCCCAAAGACTCCCTGGCTGAGAGGACAAATAGAGGAATGGTGATGACAAACACGACCAGCAGGAGAGCGCTGAGCATAAGCTCTAAATTAGTGAACGATTTCAACTTCTTTCTCGCCATCTATAAAAAGAGGAAACAATTTTAGATTTGAAAACAATTTTAAGTTTTCTATATTTATTTAACATGTAGCTACATGTTAAAATAAATATACATTTTTTTTAAAATGGGAAAGCTCGAATGTATGCCTCAGTGAAGAAATAACATGACAAATTCCACATACCCATCACCTAGAATAAAAACGTATCAACTCCTGGCCAATCTCATCTTGCTGTTATTCCTACTCACTTTTCTCCCTAAGCTTGTGCTATTTTGAAGCAAATCTCATAGTTCAGGTCTTTTAATCTGAAAATGTTGAAGTATATTTCATTTTAGAGATTCAACTTTTCACAGAAGACAAGCAAAATAATATCATCACACCTAAAATATTTTAAGAACAATTCCTTACTCATCAAGTATCTCTAGTCAATGTTGAAATTTCCTTCCTTGTCCGGTAAAGCTTTTAGAGTTTGTTTGCTCTACTCTCATAAGGATGCAAGTAAGATTTATATGTTATAATTGGCTTGTGTCTAAGTCTTTTTTAATCGATAGGGCTTAGTCTGTAGATTTTCCTACAATTTGTGCTTTATCGATTGTGTCCCCATGTATACTAACATGTTTCTCTACCCTTGTATTTCCTGTAATTAGACGTAGAATTTTGACAAGATACAGGTTTCTCTTTCTTTTTCTTTTTCTTTGAAACAAGAATGGTGCATAGATGGTATAGCATCTAGCATCTTCCAGTAGGAGACACATAAAATCTAGCAGATTCTCTCTTTTTCATGTTAGCCACCACTGGTGAGCATTTCTTAGATCCATTATTTCATTAGGAGTTGTGACACAGTGATGCTGTAATCCTATAGTTCTTTATTTATTGGATGAAATATTCCTGTAGAGAGAAATTGCCCTCATCTAGTATTTGGTTCACAAAGGTACAGTTCATGTAGGAAAGGCAGGATAAGTGTTTGACTCTTTTTTTTGTTTTTTGGTTTTTTTGGTGTTTGACTCTTTATTCACTGGTTTTCAAAATAAGGGGTTGTTCCCTAGCATCCTCCAAAGGGGACCACTGAGATTTCTTTTTCTTTTTCTTTTTTTTTTTTTTTGCTCAAGATCTTTATGAACTCATAGGTTTAAACACATTAATCCTTTGGTGGTGGTATTATTATTATTATTATTATTATTATTATTATTATTACTCATGTTGTCTCATCTTTACCCAGTGGGAGTCTCTTCAAGTTGGTTCCCTTGCTTTCTGGTATAACATAGTAACCTAGGCTCACCTTGCAAATTTCCTGTCCCCAGTCCCCAACCAAACATCTCTGAGGATGTTCTTTTTAGTGGGAAGAGAATTTAGAAACCGTGATTTGGATGAGAGCCAGTGACATTTAACCTAGAATTCTAGAACTGAAGAGACCTTGTGGTCATCTTGACCGGTAGCTACCTTTGGAGTTCCCAAGGAGTCCTTGAGGATTTTCTCTTTCAAAGACATACAGAAATGACCTATGTACCTCTGTTAGACTTGTCATGAATCCTGGCTAAGGATTACAATACTATGTCAGAAGTTTAAATTACCCGTTCAGCATGTACCTCTTACCCCAACCTACTCTGTCAGACTCTCTAGGGCTAAGTCTGGATATCTGATCTCTTTCTGAAGCTCCACAGATGATTCTGATACGCAACCATGTTTCAGAAATAGTGAACCTATTATAGGCTTACAAGCGTAATGAACATGTTTTATTAGGCACAACTATTAAGACATGGGTCCATGAAGTTATAACAGTAGGGCCAATGGTTAGTCTAGCTTCTTCATTTTACAGGTGAGTAAAGTAAGACACACTAGATGAAGTGCCTTGCTCAAAGTCTACGAGTCTATGGAGTTAGGGACTAGAACCCAAATTGTCCAGCCAGGTGCATGTAGTTTTCTTTGGCTACTACATCTATCCTGGCAACAGGTACTTGGGTGGGCACTTTATGAATGGAATACTCTGGAACCTACCACATCCTCAGTCTTCAACAACTTGCCTCCACCTATTCCTGTCACCTTCTTCCAACCTGCTCTCGTTCTCCTACCAAGTTGGTTCTGTCCTTACCTCCTCCATCAGATTGGATTCCAGGCACTGCGTTCCTGGTTATGAAGGACCTGAAACATATCAGCTGACGACCATAAGCTGCCTTGGGACTGAATGTCTGCCTTCTGGACCCATCGAACTTTCAGGACCTCCTCCCACAGGGCTTTCCACATGGGTGGGGTTCTCCCTCCATAGAACCTGATGGAACGTCTTGTGATTCCCACTTCTGTGCTCCCTGCCAAACAAACTACAGGATCTCTGCAATGCATTGGGAATCCTGTGTGCTCTGGAAGCACAGAACACGGAAAGCGAACACATGAAGCTCATCTGGTTGGGATGTTCAATGTAGACAGTATTTTGAGTCAAAGATTGGGTCTTAAATAAAGATTCATGGAGTTCAAAGCCTCAAAACATTATCTTTATAGTCAAAGATCCACCATAAATTGGGCTTTAAAGTATCTTCTCATCGGTGAGGAAGGATTAGGCACAAACATGCACGCTCACTCAATCTCTCCACGGTAAGGGAAGTTACAGGGAAACCTGAGGTCAACTAGACTGCTCAGAGGGATAACATTCATACCACTGGTCTAGATATGGAGCATAGACATGTAGCAAATGTTCAAGGAAAGAAATAAAGTGCCACGTTCCTAAGTATCCCTGACTATTACAGTCAACACAGAAACGGGGTTTTAAGAGAGGAAGAACAGACAGCTATTAAAGCAGGGACCATCAGGATTGTAGAGTGTCGCCCAGGCCTCTGCACAGGCTCCCTTAGTCGTTGGCCGGGAAGGCACAGACCACGCTGAAGGTTTTGTCCTGACACTGAGTTAAGCACCATGCACACACTCAAATGAGGGGTGTGCCTCACGTGCAGTCCTTTTCAGAAATCTCCCTCAGCGCCTTCATTCCAGGACCCTGCCTTTCGTTAGGGACGATCCTGATTCTGGTCTGAGTTGTGGCCCTACCCTCCATCAGTAGCAAGCAACATCACTCACATCTTGCCGTTTCCATGGTTTCCCCAGAAATCGCTGCTTTTAGCACCTCTTTCCTGTGACCCCACTACTGTCGCTCTTTGAAAAGCTTGTCCTTTACAAGTCAACATCTTGTATGTTCTCTCAAACATTAACTAAGACATATCCTTTGGTCACCTGTGCCAAATTCCAACAGCATTTTTCAATGATAACGTTTACTACCTTTTCAAGAGAAAACTTGACATCTCGTGCCATTGGCTTAGCTACGATCTGAGAACCCCGGGAACACCCTGTCCGTTTACCTAGGCTAGTGATACTCTACACTGATTACATTCTATAATCACAACAAGACTGAGATATAAGAACAGCCGGCTAATGTCTCCATGTGTAGAGGAAAGGACCGAGGTACTGTGTGCCCTAACGACACTGCCCAAAGCTCGGGACAATCACCGGTCCTGACTTCAACCTTAGGGATTCTCCTTATGACCTCACGGCTTCTTAGGCAGGGGCACATCTGTCTTTCATGTTTTGTGCGAGAATGTATTATCTGTGGGCACAAGTATAGCACTTATGAACCTGTTCCGATACTCTTATCTGCTAAGTGCTTTATGACTCCACGTGCCAGGTGACTCATACGTTATCTGAGACATGGGTACAGAAAGCCAGGAAGAAACCAGAAGAGCCCTGAGCAGCAGTCTTGCCCATTCAAGGTCTACTTTCTCCACCAACCCCTCTACTCATCATCCTCTGCCAAGCCTTGTAAATCTCATTACCTTTAAGACCCCCCCCCACCCACCCACCTACCCATCCCTCACTCCCGGAGAGTGGGCTGGACTTAGGGAGTCACATCTAACAAACAGAATACAGCAGAGGGGTGGTTTGTGATTCCCAAGACTAGGTTATAAAAGGCATTATGGCTTCTTCCTTCTTCTTTCTCTTGGATCACTTCCTTGCTCCTTTTCTTGGGTCATTTCTTAGAGAAGCCAGCTGCCATGTCATAACGACACTCAAGCAGGCCTATGGAAAGGTCCAACAGCCAGCAAGCAACTGAGGCCATTAGCCAACAGCCATGTGAGTGACGCATCTCAGACACGATCTGTCAGCCCCAGTCAAGCCTTCATATGACAGCAGCCCAGGCGACATCTTGCCTGGAACCTCATGAGAGACCCTGAACCAGAATGACCCAGCTAAGCTGCTCCCATATTCCTAAACCACAGAAACTATGAGATAATAAACATCTATTGTTTCAAGCTGTTAAATTTTGGGGTTAATTTGTTATGCAGCAACAGATAATTAACGCACATGGGTAAATATGACTTTTGAATAATATATCATTTGCATTTTAAAAGTATCTGTTTGCCTCTTATCAAAAGTCCTTTTGTGTCATATACTCAAATATGGTTTGCTGCTCTGTGGAACAATAATAATTATTTTCTACCTATGGAAGAGAAACACTTCCTTAAGTTTTAAGGGAATAAAAGCCCTCATCAGCATCTCCTGATTAACTTTCCTTCCCTAATTACAGGGATCTTGATGGTGAAAGCTACCATCTCAATTAGGAATGCAATTTAAGAAAAATCAAGATCAAGAAAAGTGGCAAAAGGCAAATAGAATTAGAAGTAACTTAAACAGCCTTAATTGGTTTTAAAAGAAAAAAAAATGTTTTCAAAGACTGGTACTTGGCAGTCTGCAATCCATCTTTAAATATTCCATTTCATATGACAAACACAAATTGTGCAGTTTTAATGAAAATGATAAAAATAGCTAGCGATGATTGAATGAATGTGCTAAAGGGTTATATACTCGGTCACATGCGAGCCTCATCACAACCCCAAGTTTATTCCTGCTGTGAGCCCCCTTTTCAGGTGAGGAAATTAAGCTTCAGCAAGGTCACATGACCTGTGTAATGTCACGCAGCTGATAAGGAATGAATCATAACTTGAACACCTACCCTTTGACTCCCAGCCAGAGCTTTCAACCATTC